AGTTGTAAAGACCCAACAAGTAGCATTGCGAGTTGTTGGGCTGTGATTTCTCCGAAGCTGGGGTGAAGGTTCTCTCACGTGCGCTACTCTGCCAAGGATACACGTGCTGTGGAAGAACCTCGGGTTCATCTCATCATCATCACTGTCCTGTTACCCTGCACACGACTGTGCACAGCGTCTCCTATCACTGCCCGAGCTGGACACATCTCCAGTCTCCAGTCCCTAGTCTCCAGAGTCCCAGTGGTTCTTGGTCGCTGCGTGGTTCCCCTTGTTCCTGCAGTGGTCGCTCATGGCCGACCATAGATCGGCGAGAACCACTCGGAGCCTCCACCTTGCTGCTTCTCCCACGCACTGGCGGCCCACGTCTTACGCACCACGCCTCTGCGCGTCCAACAACGTTCTCCTATCAATCCTCTTCCCGTTGTAGATGACGTTAGGTGCATGACGACTGCGCTACTTCCTCACGAGAACCTCTCTAGCGGGCTCGTAAGTCCTAGGTTCGGCGCCCGAACTTCCGGACACAATCTTCACCGGTGTATCCACATGGCTATCCATGCGCTGTGGTCCGCTTCCATGGAAACCGTCTGCACACGGCAATTACCTCATTGCGTCCAATTATAGGTGCTCGTCTTCGCTCCACTTTCCACTCGTCTCGAGGCACTGAGCATCGGAATTGAGGTTATCCCCAAGGGACATGCTGCCATTGTTAGGGAGCAACTGCGGCGGTGCAACTCGTACCTGTTCTGCTACATTGCTCCCGTGCAGCGTACCTAGGTCTGCGTTTCCCGGACCTATGTCCACGCGAAAACCTTGTTTCCTGTACCTGCAGGTCGTTCGCTCTGCCGTCTAACCATTTTCGTCAGACCGGCAGACTCTAGTTGGAACCGTCCATACCCCCACCTGATCGTTTGCCCCCAACCTCAACACTAAGTAGAGCATCTGCGTCACTCAAGGATCTTTACTCCTACGGAATCGAATGCGGATCCAATGAAGCCGATACCTAGAGGACCTCGCATTCGGCTCCGCTCTCACTAGTAAGCTGTGGTTTCACCATCGAGACATACAAAGTGTGACGGCTGTTGACAGCTGTAGCCACGACTTCGTCGAGTGAACAATCTGACTGCCATAGAACACCAACCTGGAAACGTCGGTTGTTCTCGTATGGCATCTTACATTGCATGCGAAAACTATCTTCGTGCAGCCTCCTGAAGACCATGGGAGATACTTAGCAAGTTCTATCTCATGACATCTATAAATACAAACATCCTCTATACAGCAACTGCGATGGTACGTAGCGGATGGTTCCGAACTGACAACTACTCCGCCAATGAAGCGAATGTGGCGTTTCGCTTATCAACCTTGGCAACTGGCGGACATAATGGCCTTCCATCCCAGTGGTTCAACGCGGGCATTTACAGCCACAGTCGTACCCGCCTCAACAGGAGAGGCTCTCGCTTTCTCATACAAACGGTGCACTTGCGGATGAGTCGAACCTTATCTCACAATCTGTGGAGACAGCAGCGGATAGAAGACTTCGAGTATTCGTCCGATCCGATCTGATAGGTCCACTGACGCATAGCCCAGAACGCCGTCGAGATCCGGAGCAAGAGATAGAGTTCGCTCCAGGCCAAGGACCTATTCGCGAACAGAAGTACCCGGTTGTCGGTTGAAGAGCCACTCCCACACGAAGCAAGCGACCACTGCCTAGGTACATAAGTCTATCGATAATCCGCACTCTAATCCTTCCAGAGCCAGAGTGCGGGACAACGCCGAGGTCCAGACGACAGTCAGCTGCGACTTTTTATTTGAGGCGTCAAGGTCATCATGCACGAATGCTCCCAACGACCTATCTGAGTTCTGGCCCACAGTTTTTCATCATACGTAGAGGTCAAATCTTCAAGGAGCATGGATTTGCAGCTCGGTCACGGCACGTCTTGAGCATAGTTTCGCCATTGAAGTATACAGTAGTCAACATCACATGGGTCAGGCTCTCTCTCCTCCTCACGCAGACCGTTCTTTTGTTTTCTTGATGCACGGCTGAAGGAGAGAGGGGCAATATGCATTGGACGGGAACTCCGCCGTTATTCAACAATGCTCCAACCCAGGGTCCAGAAAATCTTGCGTCGCTCTCTTGGTCTCGCACTACCCGTTGATGCCCAAAAGCACGAAGCGTAAGTCCGTTCAGATGCAGAGGTACTTTGAAAGCTGCTCCGTTGCTATTGGATGGCGTGTATGAAAGGCCAACGACGGAAAATCTACCACACCGGATGCCAGACCAATTGATATATTTGATGCAGTCATACAGACACTACGCGGCCGAACGGGTGAAACGGTGATTACAGATGGAATGAACAGAAAATCCGCCAATCAACGAGTCCTTCACGCCTGATATACGCCACATTCGCAGACCTCTGCCCGTGCTTGTTTGTGTCGTCAGGAACAGGCGATACCAACTGAGGAAGCCGTGGCGATTTTCCTATGCACATCTCAGGTTCATCTCTTGAAAGGCGCGCTGGTGGCCCACGGGCCGTGAGACATGGGTCACAATCCTTCGGTTGGCGATCGAAGAGCCACCAACACACTCTGAGCCGTGCCCCGATGTGAACTGCAGACTTCATCACTGGTCAAGGCGCACGATGCACAGCGGTCCCGTGATGCACAATCTGCCTCGGTTGGCCCCTTGAAAGGGCAGGTGTATGGCAGGGCCAAAAGGGTTTTCTTTGACGATCCAACAAGTGTGGGTATCGACGCAAGGCCAGACGCGTGCATCGGATGACACATCTAAACGAACATAGCTTTATTTCCGACCGCTTTTTGCTTTGTCCATTGATCTTACCAGGTGTATTCATTAGTGTCGCAATGCTCGCGTGAGTATTGAATTCCTCTCTTACTATGACGTCGTCTTCAACATGACAGCACTGCACTTGAGAAGTGTAACGTATGCAAGGTACATAACTCTTACCAACTGCCATTCTGGTTTCAGAAATGTCCTTTTTCCAGAAAGACCGATACTATGTCACTGGTAAGAGCTACAACTGCCGTTGGCCAGTGCGGCCGCAAAAAGCAAATGTCCACATCAAGCCACAAAGCGAGTGTCATTTCGTTTGCGAATTACGCAAGGCGTTGCAATATGCACGATGGCAATCTCGTCCTGCAGGTACAGCCGCGATGACAACACACGAGGTCCAGACCATGCTTCGACCTCTGAAAAGAAAAGGGACATATGGTGGGTGGCCAGCTCGGATATCGAACTTGGATGTCTTTCATGTCACTAGGCTGGATTCTTACACCGAAATAGTGGTATCTGAGTTCATTGTTTCTAAAGAATCAATGTATACGAGATGGATCTAGACCACTAATTACCAATTGACATCCGCGTGCAGTAGGGTAGGTTTTCATCGGACTGTTCCGTTGCTGGTTGTTGGTAGTCAGGCAACCGGTCCAGACGATACATCGAAGCATGTCTCACGTTGAAGATGTGGTCTGACAGTTCAAGGGTATGCTGCACGGACATGTGCCATGTATACTGTGAGTAGTCTAGCCAAGCAATAGACAACTACACAGTGTTGTACATCTGCCGAAAACCTGCCGAGTGCCTTTCTCTCTTAGCGTCGTACGTCTTGTACATACACTGCACAGTACGTGTCTGGCTTGCTGATCCCTGCGCATCCAAGCAACGTTCTTGACCAAACTTTTGCAACATAGTTCCGGAAACGATTTGCTCTCCCTAGACAAGCAGATCTACGACTAAAACATTACCGAAATCGATAAACGGATACATGAAGCCGTCCCTGAAGGCCGAAAGTATCAGTGAACACGGGTAGAAACGTGCACAATGCGGGGTCTGCCTGTCCGAAGACAGGCCGTCGATTGCACCGACTGGATGATGGGTTACCCTCCGTTTGTGTCGCTGATCGAAACCCCCCTGGAGCGAACAAGTTCCCCGTATCCCCAGTTCGTGGTGAGTTTGAGATACAGGGCATTTTGAGGTGACGGATCCGATATACTTCAAGATCCAGAGATCCAGATCCGGAGATATTGCTGAGTCTGGCCCATGGGAATAGGCGGTAATACGGTTCTTTCCAGCTGGCTGCCTGACGTACAAGCGTAAACCCTTTGCATTGTTGTTAAACGCCGACTTGAAGTAGTTGAGTGGTTCCGCAACGCAGTGCGGGAGGAAATGACGACTAACGCGTTCTTGTTGGGACAATGAGACCGAGGATAGGTAGCTCGGTCGTTATTGGCGTTAGTCGTTGCCTTGCAGTACTGCAGGCGTTTGAATGAGGCAATCATGACTTCGCACTGACAATCCTCGGGACCCAGGGGGGTGATCTTCAAGTACCGAGCGCGAGCGCAGGGCGGAAGATAAGGCTGACGTGTTCGTTGGGGAAACTTCGGGATTTGCAAGCAGAGTATCAGTGCGCATTACATGGTTTCTCCTATCTCGAAGAAGGAGATGAGTTGCGTGTCGAGGAAAGTGTGCCTGTTAGAACAGAAAGAGCGGGTGACATGGTCGTGAAAATCGATCGCCATTCGACAAGGTGAGTGAAGAGCTGGATCGATGAGTGCAAGAAACTGCCGGTAAGTAGGACATAGTTAGAAACACATAACCGCGATGACACAACGTAGCTCCTGCTTTGACAGGCGCGTTGTTTGAGCTTTCTAGGTTGATAAAATGAGAGTACGCCTTTGGACTTGACCATAGCTGCGGGACATGATTAGATTGATACGATGGACGCATTTGCTTGGTACAATCCTGCTCTTAGTGTATTGTTTCCTGCTAACGATTTGGGGTGCTTGGACATGTTGAGCCAGACGTCATCGTTGTCGTCTTTGGGTCTTCCATCAGCGACCCAGCAGTGTAGGAGGGGCAAGTGTGAGTTATGGTAGTTTTGCTTGCTCGTTCTGTGTGGTATTCCATATATACAATCCCGCAGTAACGAAGCCTGAATCAACCGGTACGCCCTTGTTCTGCATGCGCTTCCTCTTGCTGCCAGTTCCTAGTGGTGGCCCTCATCGTGGTGAGCGTCCTTGTCATTGAAGAACAGTTGCTCGGCAACAACGTATCCGGCGAATGCGACGGTGGCTATTCCGAGGCCAGGGAAGGAGCCCTTGAAGCGGTTGAAGCGGGAGAAGGGTCCGGTGTATCGCCATTGCTCACTGCAAAGATAAGTATGTGCGGCATCAGGCAGTTTTGTGGATTCAAGCGTACTATCGGGCCCATGGGTCACCCTTTGTGCCGTTCGCGGAGGCAGCGGCGAACTTCTTGGGGTCGAAACCGGTGATGGAGGGGCGTGGTGCCATGGTGAAGGAGCTGGGGCGGTCAGCAATCGTTGCGCGTCACGGACAAGATATCAATTGAGCACGTGAAGACCGGGTGCGTACTTTGTAAGCCTCGTGAGCGGCTGATGCGAGGCAGGGCGTTTGGGGAAGCTGGCGTTGTTCGTTCCTTGACCTCGAGCAGTCGCATCTCTCGATATCTTGGCGAGCGATCATCGCGCACGGCCTACACACGTAACTGCGGTTGCTCTCCCCACACCACGCATACAACTCCCGCAACCCATCGCTAGCAACAAACCGGACGCGCCCGCATTCCTCCGAGACAGTCTGTCACTCTCGCAGGCTCTGACTGAGCAACTAAGGCTCCCCTATCATTTGGCCCACAGCACGAGCACCCACCAGATCCTCGACACCTACCACACGCGAATCGCTGCAACAACTAGAACAGCTCCACGATGCCGCCTCACGGGGGCCGGTTTCCCGGTCACAACCTCTCGAATCCTTTCGCACATCTATCAGGCCCAATACCACAGCAGCAACAGCCAATGCACCAACAACACCAGCAGCAAAACATACAACACCCAGGCTTCGGTGGCGGCAACCAGGCCCACAACCTGAATCTTTTCAGTCAACATCAAGGCGGCTTCCAATCAAATGCAGCGCTGGGTGGTGCGTTAGGAGCGTCAGGTCTGGGAGCGGCGGCAGCAATTGGCGGGGCAGGCGGAGGGACAGGACTCGATGGACATGAAGCGCGTATGCGCTTCGCCCATGGCGCACAAATACAGGAGAACGCAGCTCGTGGTCAAGATGGCGCTAAAGGCATCGCAGGGCAGCGAATACGAGAAGTTTGGCGGTCAAACCTACATCAGGAAATGGATATGCTGCGCTCGCTCATCGATCAGTACCCCTACATCAGCATGGTCAGTATACCACTCTCCTACAGATCGGTCGGACAGCTCTTGTATAAGAGCCTTGTCTGATACGTGTAAAGTCTGTCGCTAAACATGGCGGAATGGCTTCTTTGGACCGTCTTGAAGTAGTTCCTATTCTGCTTGACCTTCCCCTTTATGAACTTTGCGCTCATTCTATGAACAGGACACCGAGTTTCCCGGTGTTGTCGCACGACCTATCGGAGACTTCAACTCGAAAGCCTCCTATCACTACCAGACAGTGCGTTGCAACGTCGACTTGCTCAAGATCATTCAACTCGGCGTCACTCTTTTCAACGTCCAAGGCGACATCCCGCCATCACATCTCGACATCTCAGAACTAAACTACAAGCCAAAGTCGATGCAGCGATATGCGAACAACATCGTTGTCTGCCCATGCACATGGTCGTTCAATTTCCAATTCTCTCTCGAAGACGACATGTACAACGAAGAGTCAATACAGATGCTAAAGAAATCTGGCGCCGATTTCGAAAAGCATAGGGACCAAGGCATTGATCCTCAAGAGTTCGGCTCGCTGCTCACAACATCCGGAATGACTCTGTCCGAGGATGTCAATTGGATATCGTTCCATTCTGGCTATGACTTCGCTTACATGCTGAAGATGCTCACTTCGAAATCACTACCCGAAGATGAGGACACTTACCGCAAGCTCGTTAACGTTTTCTTCCCCAAGTTACTGGACGTCAAGTATCTCTGGCGGCACGCGAACAACCTTGTCAGGCGCGGTGTTATTGGATCGACTGCAACCAACATACTCAACAACCTGGGTACAAAATCAGGCCTTCAAGATCTCGCTGACGAGCTTGGCTGCCAGCGTGTGGGGAACTCACATACAGCAGGCTCTGATGCGTGGCTAACGGGTGTTGTCTTTTGGGAGATGAAGAAGAAGATCTTTGATGGAACAGTTCCTGACGAGATGAGCGGCCACATGTGGGGTCTTACCGGCGTTGGTCCACCAGCCAGTGCGACGGCGCAGGCTGCTGTTCTCGCTGCACAGGGTGCTTCACAGGGCCTGACAGGCTTCCAACAAGGTGTCAACAACACTTTCTATCCCGGTAACGCAAGACACGGTGTCGACGGACCAAGTACGCCCACCAACCACCCAGCGGGTCTCGCATCAAACACCCCTGGACCAAGCGGCATGATGACACCAGGAGGATACGGCGGATATGGCAACAAGTAGAACGGTGGCTATAACGGCGGCTACTATTGGAACGGGGAGTAGTATCCCAATGTGCCTCAGTCGTTCAACGGTCCGCATGCTAAACCTCTGTATAATCCCGCTTATGGTGGTCATTACTACGGTGGTTATGAAATCAACTGGTATACCGGCCACCGAGGTGGTGACGGGACGAAAGCGCCATAAGGGGCGTGGACACTTAGGGCTGGTCACAATGTAGGAAGTGATTGTCGGCGTCATGGGGATGGTTCAAAACGGCCTCGAACGGACTGGCGTAGAGATAGTATTGTACGATACCCGGGGTTAGTGGTTAGTATGCTGCGAGTGCGGACCATCTTTTGATAACATGGTTAATGTCATTATTGCGTCCATCCATCACCCGTGCGTATTCAACGTGCCTGAAATCGAGCAATACTCTCAATTCTTCGAATTCAACTGTTGTGCTTGCCAAACACAGTAGGCGATTTGTGCAAAACAGAATCGAATTCGCTTGCACAAAGCAAGAATGCGGTTTCGGAGCTTGTCCGCCAAACCAAAAGGCATCTACATGTTGAACCTCGTCCTCTTCTTCTCCATACGTCCCTTCCATTGCCATTCCTGGCCGCTCTTGAACTGGATTCCGCGATCTATCCTGCGGAGTTTGAGTGTCATTCGGGGACTGTAGTCGTCGTTAGCCGCTTATCCCAACTTGATCAATCGTCATAGTGAAACTTACCCAATCTCTTGCATGCCCACTTTGACGTCCTCAACGCCTGGGAGTGGCTTGCCATCAGACCCCAAGATGGGTTTCTCGCTCTCGCGCTTGTCACGGAAAACATAACGATGCCTTCGCACGAAGATGTAATCACGCTGGTTGTGTAGTGTGAGGACTTGGCGGCCTTCCAGCTCAGGCTTTGCAGGGAACATGTTCTGGAAGAGGTGTGCTGTGAGAATACCGAGCGGTGTCTTGAATTGGTTCAGGATCAGCTCAGGGTAGTGTCCTGTGTCGTTCGCGTGCCGGGGCAGCTTCTTGCCCTCGACCCAATTTGTGAGGGAAAAGTGGAAATGGGGGCCGTCTGGAAGAGTGACGATATCAAGTCCGTCAGGCTTTTTCTCGTGTTCGGCTTGCATCAGGATAACAAGCGCCGTGTACCCTCTTGCGCTGGCGAAACCGGCAATCTCCTTCACGCTGTACTTGTGGGCGTGGACGTGTTGCGTCCGTCTTATGTAGGTGCTGTTGGGGAAGAGCGAGGTGAGGATTTCGGCCTCTTTGTGGAGCGTCGAGTTGATGCTTGTTGTTATCAGGATCTGTGGGTCGTCGGTACGAGGGTTGAATATGGACGGGAACTTTTGCTTCAGGAATTCGGGTGATAGCTCGAGGTTTGTCGCGGTGGATGTAGCGCTGGGACTGGATGCGCGTTTCCCAGGCTTAGATGAGGCGGCGTCTGAATCTAGGTCGGAGTCGTCTGAATCGAGGTCGGATTCAGGCTCAGATTCGTCAAGCATGCTGTCTGCTTCGTCGTCCATGTCATCGTTGTCGTCGTCGTCACTGTCACCCTGCTTTGCTTGGTCGCGCTTCTTCAATTTGGCTAGTATGCCCTCCTCTTCGCCCTCGTCTCCCTCCTTCTGCGCGGCCTCGTCTTCCTCCACCTTTCGCCGCTTTGCGAGTCTTTCCACGTCTATGGCCCATCCCAGCGCATCCTCCTCGTCACCGACGGGTTCATCCCACACACGCTTACTGTCGATGGTCGCAGGCTTGTTCTGTGCTAGTCGTTCTTCGCGGAGGGCTGGGTTTTTGTCTTCTTCTCGCTTGCGACGAAGTCTGGCGTCTCTCTTTTCCGATTCACGCGCTTTCTTGATCGAGAGGAACGCGGCCTGTCGGCGCAGTTTGTTCTTGGGCTTGAGACCCGAGGCGGTGTTGGGGCTCTTGGAGAAGGCCATGCTGGATTCGAGTCGCGCTGCTCGTGTGGTGGTTCTAAATGTCTTCCCAGGTTACCTGAAGACGAGTTTGGGAGTGCACAATGTTGAAGGTCCTGGCCGTGTCCAACTTTTCGGTGGAGCCGCGGCCTGTGCTTTTCCGCAATCTTGGCGCGTCACACACCGGCAGAGATTCCACCATGTTGCAGCATGCCATTTCAAGGCTCGCGACTTGTACTATATCTGTAAATATTAAACCCCTGTCGCTCATTAGTTTTCTCTTGTCGGATGCAAGAGACTAGCCGTAGTATATGCGCCGACTAATTCAATTGCTGCGCGTCCCTCCATCTGCCTCGCGCCTCTCTTTACGTAGACCCTTATATCGTGCCCCACCTCCGCCGACTCATCCCACCAAGCACTTCTCGTCCACACCACCACTCGACAAATACAAGGTGCCACAGCGCAAGAACGTCGCCATGCCTAGCGATACCACCACATACAAGGGTAAGCCCTTTGAGCGGGCTGCTTTCGAGCAGCTCATGAAGGTATGCGCGTTTGACGAGACACTGCATGCATGCTCATGCTAACAACCGCCATTGTAGCACAAGTACTTCTATGCGCCCTCGTTCGACATCTACGGCGGTGTTGCCGGTCTCTACGACTACGGTCCGCCCGGCTCTGCCCTCACCGACAACATTGTCGACATATGGCGCGAGCACTTCGTCCTAGAGGAGGATATGCTCAAGGTCGAACCCACCATCCTCACCACACACGACGTCCTCAAAACCTCTGGCCACGTCGACAAGTTTGCCGACTGGATGTGCAAAGACCCCAAGACTGGCGAGATCTTCCGAGCCGACCACCTGGTAGAAGAGGTTCTCGAGGCCAGGCTCAAGGGCGACAAGGAGGCACGCGGCCAGAAAGTTGAGGTTGAGGAGGAAGACCCCAAGAAGAAAAAGAAGAAGGTCAAGAACATCGCCGCCGTGAAGCTCGAGGACTCCATGGTCAAGGAGATTGAGGAAGTGCTGGCCAAGATTGACAACTACAACGGCGAGGAGCTCGGCCTCTTGATGAAGAAGTACGACATCAAGAACCCCGCCACCAACGGCGAACTGCAACCCCCTGTTGCATTCAATCTCATGTTCCAAACCTCCATCGGCCCCTCGTCCAACCTGCCGGCCTACTTGCGTCCCGAGACTGCTCAGGGTCAGTTTGTCAACTTCCAAAAGCTGCTCGACCACAACATGCAGCAAATGCCCTTCGCCTCTGCGTCCATCGGCAAGTCTTTCCGCAATGAAATCTCCCCGCGACAGGGTCTGCTACGTGTGCGAGAGTTCCTCATGGCTGAAATCGAGCACTTTGTCGATCCCGAAGGCGGCAAGAAGCATCCACGATTCGACGAGGTCAAGGACGTCGAGCTTGAGTTGCTCAACCGCGACGTTCAACTGTCCGGAAAGACTACCGTTGAAACCACCAAGATTGGCAAGGCTGTTGAGACTGGTCTCGTAGACAATGAGACACTAGGCTACTTCTTGGCCCGCATCCAGCTGTTCCTGCTTAAGCTCGGTGTTGATCCCAAGAAGATTCGGTTCAGGCAACACATGGCTAACGAAATGGCACATTATGCTGCGGACTGCTGGGACGCTGAACTGCTCACATCATACGGCTGGATCGAGTGTGTCGGTTGTGCTGACCGAAGCGCGTACGATCTGAGCGTGCACATGAAGAAGACCGGCGCGCCTCTGATTGTCCGCGAGACAAGGAAGGAGCCTCTGAAGGTCGAAGAGTTTGTCTGCGAACTTGACAAAAAGAAGTTTGGTCCCAAGTTCAAGAAGGACGGTAAGACCGTAGAAGCAGCCATCGAAGCTTTGTCACAAGACCTTCGTGAGAAGCTATCCTTGGATCTTGAGAAGGAAGGCAAGATTGTCATCGACGTTCCTGAAGTTGGTGATGGCAAGGTAGAGGTACCCAAGGATCTCATCACCATCGAGAAGCGCACCCGTGTAGAGACCATGCGCGAATACACACCAAACGTCATTGAGCCATCGTTCGGTATCGGCCGTATATTCTATGCAAGTACCCATATGTTGAGAGGATCATGTACTTTGCTAACTAAGCCAGGCTCTATGTGAACATGTTTACTGGACTCGTGAGCAGGACGAAGCCCGTGCTGTCCTCTCTTTCCCTCCAGCAGTCGCACCGACCAAGGTCCTCATCGTACCGCTCAGCTCAAACCCCGACTTCGATCCGTTCGTACGGAAGCTGAAGGACAAGCTGCGAAAGCTTGGTATCTCTAACCGCGTTGATGCTTCCGGTGCATCCATCGGTAAGCGTTATGCCGTAAGTCATCTGTTTGCCCCGGCAATTGTGATCAAGCATTAACATATTCCCAGCGCAATGATGAGCTTGGTACTCCTCTCGGCATTACTATAGATTTCCAGTCTGTCAAGGACAACACTTTCACACTCCGAGACCGAGACACCACAGAGCAGGTCCGTTCAAGCTTAGACGAGATCGCCCAGGCTATTTCAAATATCGTCAAGGGCGAAGAGACATGGTCAGACGTCGCAGCACGGCTACCCAAGTTTGAGGGCCAGGAAGTTGACCCATAAGAAAACTGCAACCTAATAGTAAATGCAGTTTACGCTGTTCGATGACAAAGTTGAAATAACACCGAGAAGATTGCTTTCTACAGGATGCATTCGCTGATGTTGTCACTCGCTCTTTCCTTGTGCTACGCCGTGATGTCTAACCTGTCTGCGCCGTAAATGTGCGTCTATCCAAATGTGCTCACCACACTTCGCGCCACCTCTGAATCGTACATTCTTTTCCACAGCCCATTCTACTAATCACTGTGTCCTGTCCCATATCTCTCCCGGTATCGCACCTGTGGACGCGGCACAGTTGTGCATCAACTAGAGATGGAGGCCTAGCCGACCTGTGCAAACCAAATGTAATTCATGTTACATATTCTCGGGATCCGGGCTGTCCGGCACTTTTCCGCATATCGCATGATCGTCCGGCAGACATTACAGCTAGAACGCTCCTCATTAGGTTGCTCTCTGACGCCTATCACTTTCCACGTAGGATACTTTGTGGAGACGAGAAAATCAAATTACTCGCTGTTAGCAGGGGCTGATACCTCGGCGCCCCTGGCTTTTGGTCCGTCTATTCTCTGGTACACCGGGCGACTACCCGCTGCATCTCCTAGGATCAAATGTAACCAGCGATGACTCGGTCGCGTTGAGCTTGCTCATCTAAGCGTTAGACTCTGGAAATCTCCGAGGAGACTGGTATGAAAGAACAGCACCCCAAACAGCCTCGGAGCCAGCGTATACTATACCTTATTCCACAAACTCAGAACAAGGTGCTTTCACTTCCGACAGTCTGGTTGACGATCTACTGGGACCCGCCCGTACCGCTGGCTCCGACAGTATGGCCGCACCGTCAAGCCCCGCGCCAGAACTCTGTCCTTGGGGCGAATGTGACACCTACAGGGTCTTGCTTCCTCGGTACTCCGTAGGATCAACAAAAAGTCGCTTCACTCTGACTCTGACCTGCGGCTCCCACCCTTTGTGACATGCTGCAAGCCGGCAACAGGGCCTGAGTTCCTACGCGCTAACACCTGCGAACGCGTAGCATGAGCCGGAGATTGCGTTGTAACATAACAATGGACGCATTCAGGTCGGCAACGGCTTGATTTCAGCATCAGCGCAATTACTCGTCAACCATACGGCCGCAGGGTGAAGCATAGATAGCCTGCTGTCTGATGCTGGGGTTGGTAATCGACCTGTGTCAGATCAACATGGCCAGAAATCAGCGGGCAGTAGAGCCCGCATATCGTTCATGTGGCTGAACATAATCCCATCCGTATCGGTCGAGGCCAATTTCTTAGCAACCAAAGGTATTGGCGGTTCCGATCATCTCCTGCTAACACGTTCCAACACACACCTACATCAATAGCAGCGCACCGTAAAATATCGCGTCGGTCACACACATAGCGCGAGTTCCACTACCGCCTGCAGATCTCCTCGCCGTAAGTTGCCCGTTTACGCTTATGTCCAGCATGTAAGGAGCGTATACCCAGTATTCACGCGCCCCAGCATCAAGCGACCATCGCTTAGCATGCGGAACCTCAGGTTTTAGCACCAGTTTACCAGGGTCCTACGAGCGCAGCACATGCTCAAAAGACAAAGCGTTTCTACTTCTTCCATGCGCTCATCATTCTCGTCTCGGCTCCCTCCACGATTTTGTTAGGTCCTCTGCGTCGGCTTTCCGAGACCATGGACGAGGGACAGCCACCACCCGAAGACGTGGTTGCCCCTCACACAGGCGCTCCACTCAAACGCCCACGAGCTGACTCGGAAAGTACGGCGTCGATCGAGTCCAAGTACGTTGCTGCTCTCTACTCTCGCATCTTTTTGCCACTTTGCATTTCGACGTGGCTGTTGGGCTAGATTCAAACGGAAGGGCTCGGGAGTAAACAACAACGATTGCAGCCTTACCAGACGATCCACCTTGAGCAACAACCGCACATCGAACAAGCTGACACCTTGATTGACAGCCGCTCTGCCCGCACTTTGGCTTCGGACGATTTGGAATATTTCCATGAGAATGGACGAACATACGGCAACGAGACATACTATCTGCCATGTGTGTACAAGCCACATAACGATTTCATAGAACAGGATCGTTTGTCTTTACAACATGAAGTCTTCGTTCGAGCACTTCACGGCAAGCTTACCACTGCGAAATTATTGCCCACCACGCGAAGGATCCTCGACTTGGGTACAGGTCCAGGTCACTGGGCTGTTGCCATGGCGCGTCAATACCCACAGGCGGAAGTCGTCGGGATAGATATGACTGAATGGGATATTGATACCACTGAAGCCACGTTAGGCGATGCCAGTGTGACATGGGAGCTGGACGATCTCGACGTCTGGGGAAAAGAAATGGACGTTGACGAGCTGATCAATCAGCTCTCGACTCTCGACTTGGCTACCGAAATGGCTCATCGGAATCCGGTTGAGTCGCTCAGGAAGCCAAAATCAACAGTTGACCTGAATCAACGTGGAGGATCAAGTACTCCAGAAGAGTCTCTGACTATTGACCTCTCGACTCTCACCCCCCAACCCGAACCCGGCTGGCATTTTAGCGATTCTTTCGAACTCATACATCTACGAAACATGAAAGGCTCCTTCACTCATTGGGAAGAAGTCTATGCAGAAATATATAAGAGCCTCTCGCCCGGCGGGTGCATTGAACTTGCAGATTGGGATCTGGGCCAGGTGCCACTGGGTCCGGGTGAGATTACAGCAGCAAACATACCCATGCCTACTCTTCGTAAACTGTATGTGGCGTTTATGGAAGCATCGTTCAAGTCTGGTCGTCCGCTCGGCCTCTTCTACATGCATCACACTTATCTCGAAGAAGCGGGATTTGAAGACATTCGAACAACCCACGTCAATGTCCCAGTCGGGCGATGGCCACAGGACGAGGCGCAAAAGTCGCTTGGTAAGATGATGTTTGTGTTGGGTATGGAGATGTTTGAACCGGTCTGCTTGCGCCTCTTGACGACATGGGGTAGTAAGAGCAGGGTCTGGACTGCCGAAGAGGTCAGGGCAGATATTGCAGTGGCACAACAGGAAGTCAAAGAATATGTCGAGCGATCCGAACGTGGAGAGGTGGAAGGCTGGTGTGCAAGCTTCAAGTGGGTTACTGCCAGGAAAAGCTGGCACGCTGAGAAGTGAGTTTAATTTGGTTATATGAACTTGTCAACATTTGCATTGTACGGGGTTGGCGGTATCGTGAGTTTAATGTTGGTGTTACGAGTAATGACTGCTTTGTACATAGTACATTTCGGCTATGACATGCAATTCAACTAGACTACTCTGTCAATGGAAGGAGTCCACATACCTTCAGACGGTTACCCTGAGCCTAGACGGTCATTAGGATGTTGGCGAAGTCAGTCTACACTCACCCCCCCTTCGCCGAACATGGTAGGCATACTCGTTACACGGAGAATATGAAGTTCGGAAGGTGGAGCCGTAGCAATGTCATATATCAAAGAAACGATGCTGCAGGTGAACTATCACACTGCTTTTCGCTTTTCCACAATCCAAACATGTCTGTAAACCTCTCAGCCAATATGCTCTTCGGAGTCAATGGTATCGTAGCCGTCATAACAGGAGGAGGATCGGGTAGTCCACCCATGCATCGGTTTCACAACATGACCCTAATGTAAATAGGAATCGGTCTGATGATGACCAAGGCCCTGGCAGCCAATGGTGCCCATCGCATATACATTGTCGGCCGCCGCGAAGACGTACTCCGCTCAGCTGCAGAAAGCATCAACCCCGAAATCGTGATCCCACTGCCCGGCGACGTCACATGCCGCGAGTCTCTCCTCGGGATCGCAAAGCAGGTAGAGGCCGAAACCGGCTACATCAACCTTCTCATCTGCAATGCCGGAATAATGGGTCCCAAGCCGCTCAAAGCAGCACCGGGTGCCCTTTTGGCGTCGCTCTCAGAATACAGAGCACACGCCCTCGAGACGCCCATGGAGGAATTTACAAACGTATATGCGGTGAATACCACAGCTATATACTACACTACTCTCGCCTTTCTCTCCCTACTCGACGCCGGAAACAACAAGAACAACATGGGCGCAGACGTCGGCTCCCAAGTCATAACGACATCGAGTATCGGCGGCTTCTCGCGCTTGCCCGGTGCCTCGTTCGCCTACAACAGCAGCAAAGCAGCCGTTACGCACATGACGAAGATGCTTGCTACATCGTTTGTTCCGTACGGCATTCGCTGCAATGTGCTTGCGCCCGGTATCTTTCCCTCTGAGCTTGCAATGGGGATTATTGGGGCGCTGGACCCAGGGAAGACTGGAGAGATGGATAGGAATATTGTACCGGCAGGAAGAGCGGGGAGGGAAGAGGATATTGCGGGTGCGGTACTCTGGATGGCGAGTCGGGCAGGGAGTTATTTGAATGGGAGTGTGGTTGTGGTCGACGGGGGGAGATTGGGCATGTTGACGTCTACATATTGAAGTGGTTAGCGGTAGATTCGGATAGGTACTGCCCGTGCTTCATAGCAACTGTTGTTGTCGTTGTTGTTGTTAGATGCTGTTCAGATTTCAGTACCTGAGTAACGGGAGCCCCACTAGCGCGCTTTCCCCTGCATGTTGCGGAGTTGAAGCCACACCTCCGCACCAGCTTGCTAAACCTCGACTACGATGCGCGCGTGCTGACCACGCGACAATGCCTGCACAAACACACAGGCTCAACTCAAATGAGTTTTTAAATAAGCCTGGCTTCCTCGGCGCCGCAGCGCGCTTCTGGCAGGTACGTCACTCTAACAATGGGCATCGTTCGCAAATGGACAGCTAACAGACGACGCTTGCAGCGCTCGTATGCTTCGGACTATGTTGGCATTGTGATACTGACATGCGGGTATATATTGGTGAGTGGTCTAGAAGATAGCGGTTCTGTGTAGTCGTAAATATCTAGAACTGACAAACTAGGCACAGATACAATTCCTCGCCGAACCCTTCCACCGCATGTTCTTCCTCGACAACCTCGCCATCGGCTACCCACACGCCGAAGAAGAGCGCGTGCCAGTCTCATGGCTCTTCATATACGCCGGCGCGGTGCCCCTCGGTGCACTCATCGCCTGGGCTCTCATCCTCCGCCCCGGAACACACAAGGCGCATGTTACCATCCTGGGCTGGTTCATCAGCATGATCTTGACCATGTTCATAACAGACGTGATCAAGAACGCTGTTGGGCGTCCCAGGCCAGATCTGATTGCGAGATGTAAACCCGCTCCTGGGACGCCAGCACATCAACTCGTCACATTCGAAGTCTGCACCGAGACAAATCACCACGTCCTACACGATGGCTGGCGCAGTTTCCCCAGTGGGCATAGCAGTTTCTCCTTCAGTGGTTTGGGCTATCTTGCACTTTTTATTGCAGGCCAATGCCACGTTTACCGCCCTCGCGCCGATCTCGCCCGCGTCCTTCTCGCCCTCACTCCTCTCCTCGGCGCTGCATTGATCGCTATTTCCCGCTGCGAGGACTATCGACACGATGTGTACGATGTTAGTGTTGGGTCGGTGCTGGGCATGGCCGTTGCGCATTACACGTATAGGAGGTATTATCCGGCCCTGAGGAATAGGCAGTGTGCTACGCCGTTTCCTAATCCCGCGGACGACAAGGGCTGGGGGAAGATCAAGGGCGACGAAGAGAGCTTGAGGGCTGCGAGTGAGTTTGAATTGGATGACCTTGATGAGGAAGATGGTGTGGAGGGAGAAGGGAGGCCGTTGAATGGGAGACGATAAATCGTGTGGTTGTGTTGAGATATTCAGGCTGATCTGCTCTGACGTCTTTGCCTGCAGTCTCCGGCAGAGCCATGTCTCATATACCCGTCCGTTGTGTAAAGCTCTTGAGAATAGAACAACGCGTGGTGGACGACCGCCAAAAACCCTACAGCGAAACATCCAAGACCCATTGCAACTTAACACTGACTCTGTTCCTTTCCTCGTCGGAACGACCGCTACTAGATACTGAGCGTGCACGAGCGCGGCAGCAGATTGTTATCTTGCAACATCCGGACTTTTTTCAGGGCGTCGACGTCCCAGAGGTCTCTTGTGTCCTCAACTCGCCTTTGAGACGACGACACCATTGATCTTATTAGACTAAGAGATAGTGACGTATTATATGTACTCAGCCTAGAACCCAGCGGCTCTAGTACACAAAACCCACCACTTACGAACGCCGGTGATTAGCCGTCGCTCAGGACCGTCGAACGCTCACTGTCTCAAGCTCAATTGGCTTTTCTCATTCCGAATGTCCTGTTCAGCAAAAAGCAGCATGTCGTCGACGCTCCTGGACGTATACCTCCAGCACGTTTGAATTGGTACAGTAGCTAGGGTTGTCTCTGCTGCTGCGCTTTGCCATCCGCATGTGGTGCCTATTTGAGATTGTTGGATAGCTTGTCTGTGCTGTTGAGCTTCTATTTTGCGCGAGCGTTCAACTACTTTCTCAGGCCGCCTGCGGTCACTCTCGTGACCTATCAGCCCGCCACTCCCACCAAGCCGACCCTTTCATCAGCTCGCCATCGAGAAAGTCGATATTCTCTTCAGCTTGTGAATTGCTAGCGTTGCTACCTTTCAACGACCATTGCTACCATGCAGTCGAGTCTAGAGCTGCGTTAAACAGCTTTTGATGTCATGTGCCTGCCGATAGACTAAGATCTTATGGCTATGCGTTCTTGCTACTCTGCTCCTCGTCATGTGTGGCTTTATCAAGGCTGGCTGGACGAACGCTTAAGGCTAGTAGCACCCTGCCATACTCTGTAGACACTTTCCTATTGTAACAGTCAAGACAAGTCCAGATATCCTTAGACTCTGTAGCGTACTCCAGAGGAGGCTGGCAACACACATCAATAGTGCTACAGGTCGGCCTCTAGTCCTGGTTCATGGTAATCAAGATTAGGAAGGTGTCCAGCGTTAAGCTTCTATCCCTCCATGGACTTTAGACGTGTAATTATGTATAAATACTCCGAGTTGCGCAAAGGTCTCCAGAATCATCAGTCCTCAATCACTCAACTCATACAGCTACTTCTACGCTCGCATCTTACATATAGGCTTTAATAGTCCAATATTTCGGGAAAATGGGTGACAGCGACCGCCCTGTTGTGAGTTAATACCAAGGATCGGCATCTAGCTAATTGCAACAGCAATGAGTCCAGCTAACGTCACTTCCTAGGAGATTGCAAACTACTACTTCGAATGTCAAGGAGGCTACCTGGGCAACGTCAATATCAAGTTCGCAAACAAGAACGGGGAAAACGACGGGCAGAATTGGACAACACTAGCTTTTCGCTTGACTGGTGCGAGCCACCAGAGTACTGGCATACAGAGTCTTGAGAATATAAGCAACCACGGCGCCCATGGTAACATGATGAATTGGCTGCGGGGAGGAGAACCAGTACGTATAGCACGCAGCTTTCTAACTTTACCCCAAACCATATGTTCTGCACCAAAGATGTTTCAACTAATCGTTTAGCGCAGTTCTACTTTGAATATGGTGCTGCCTCTGCTATGTTCGGATTTTGGGCTTTCGGTTCACCCAAAACCACAGGATGGTACAAGCTTGGTGGTACTAAGTGCTACAGTCTCATGTTCGATGGCACAGCAGCAGATGTTGAAATGGGAGAAGAGAAAGTCCACTAAGAAAGGGGTTCTGCTAGCGGATTCAGTGGGCAATTTCAATGGATTTCTGCTGCTGGATATGAAGCGTGCACTAGTACAGTAGCGGGTTGTGATGATGATGTAACACTTGGACCCTTTTCTTGGCTTTGCACGAGTTGTCTAAGATTGAAACGAATTCATTGGTGTCTTCTGACCACCTCTTTATCAACTTCCTTACTCATCTCGGAACCTATTCCACCCCCATGCTCTTGATTCAGTATCTTGGCAATGCTGTAAGCTGCCTGCAGCCTCGGAGATCGACTTTCAGCCCAGTCACCGCCTTCTGGGAATTCAGAGTCCCGGCAAAATAGCTTGGTTGGGTTAAGGTTGAGGTGCATGTTACCAAGTGAGTCTTTGCCGCTTGGTCTCGAGAGGAGTTTCTCTAACACCAATCGCATGTCTTCAACTCTCTTCAGCCATCTCTCGATTCGAGGATCGAAACACATGGGACGTTGACGTGAAAACTCTAGGAGCAAGCCTGCAATGCCCGCTGCAATCGGGGTTGCGCAGGAAGTCCCTGTCAATCTCTTGAATCCAGGGTCTCGCTCTTCAGTAGGAAGATCCACAGGCCATGTTGATCTTATCCTTTCGCCAGGCACCGTGAATCTGGATCTGCCGCCTATGCCGAACGGATTGAAGTTGCTCGGTCTTCCCTCAGCGTTGGCTGAATCAACAGCGATGACTTCCATTGCACGAGCCGGGTACGCCATTCCAGTTTTTGCCCAAATGCCTTCATTTGAACTTGCTGCGAAAAGCAACACCTTCTGCTCCCGAGCACGCTGGATTGCTGCATCGAGTGCATCGTTATCATTGAGCTGCCAACCGAGGCTCATGCTGATGATGTCGACTTTCTTTTTGACGGCATCCGTAATTGCGTCCGCTACGTGTTGCTTCTCGATTGGTTCGTTGCCCTCGCAAACTCGATACACGTACACGTGCGCGTAGGGACAGACGTCTAAGATCAGACCTGCGGCATGTGTCCCATGTCCTTTGGTATCGGTATCCCATGGCAAAGAAGGATGCAGCTCCGTTCCACGCTTGATCTTTGGCCCTTTCAATAACCCCGGTACCCGACCTTTCGTCGATTTCCTAGCTACACCGCTATCGATCACGGCAATCTTTACACGTCGCTCTGCTTTGGTTTCCTTGTAGGAGTCATCCTGATACTTGTCCAGAAATACGTGGGCATTTTCACGGAGATTCTCGAACCATTCATCGACACCGACCTCACTGTATTCTGTTAGCGAAGTCTCGAAAAGCCAACAAGTAGTCGCCACTTACGCTGGAGATCTATCGTCCTGCATAGATGTTTCATCTTGTGTCGGTACGCTCTGTCGTGGAAGATCTACGGAAGAAGTCCTTCTATGGCTCACATTGTGTGCTTGTGACACCCGCAATTTATCTGACTTGATTCGTTCGTTCGATCGGGCTCTCCTCGCCTTCTTATCTGGATCCGGTTCGTCGAAATCCCGATGCCAGCCCCCTGGAACAGTCCACTCTGCGGCTCCGGTAACCGACGTATCTGTCTGAAATATGGGAAGCGGTTCTGATGGAATCTCTGACTGAAGCTGCTTATCCCGAGCGGCTTTACTGGCAGATGTATTGTCATCATTCTGTGGCTCCCCACCAAATGCATTCTCCGGTTGTGCTCTATCGCTTTTCGGAGGAGCGGACACAAGATCCTTTGGAGATTCAGGTGTCGCTTTTTGGATCTCCTCAAGAGTCGGAAAGAATAGATCTCTGTACGGAGAGGGTGGTTTTCGCGCACTTTTTGAAGTATCATCAGCGCTTACGTTTAGAGATGGAGCGCATGTGCGACTAGACTGATCCACTGCCTGCTGGACTTGGTCTGGTGTCTTGGAATCTTCCGCTTGGTCTACATTGCTTACGCTATCTTTGGAGCCCAGTATCTGCGCTGATGTTCGATCAGTGTCTTTTGGCGTTTCGGATGATCGACGAACCCGCCTCGAATCGGTCGACGCAGAACGGGGCTCTCGCTTTCTTCCGGTATTCGAAGCCAAAGAAGCTACCTCATAGTTTGAGTGTGAGCTCGTGGGTCTTTCTCCTTCAATCTTGACTCGAGATTCTACGTCAACTATAGGTGGCTCTTGGTTATCCTTTCGTTTCACGGCGTATCTCGAAGATGAATGCTCTGTTATCCTTATTGACGGTGCCGAAACCGTTCGCGACACCCTCTCATCGCCTGGATGCGTGCGATTCGAATGGACCTTTCCTTCGGAATCCTGCCTTTCGCTTGGCTCTGAGACGGATGGAAGTTGTTCTGAACGGCGTTTGCTCCCTCCCACGGGTGTCTCTAACCAGTTCGATTCCCTGTATTGTTCACCCGCCGAAGCCCGTCTGTTAGCTCCCGCTGGCCTATCCGGCGTTTGCGATTCCTGCACTGATTTCGAGTTGTCGCTAACTTTTTTCCGCTTGGAATCCACTTGTTCATGTTTTTGGTCTGGTATGCCGACTTCTCGTGTAACCCCCGACTCCGGTGCTGGCTGCGCCTTCCTCGCTTCAGCCTTCTCTTGCAATTTCTGGCCCGGAGTCGTTGTGCGCGCCTTTCCATTTCGTGTAGGACTTACTCTCTCTAGCTCTGAAGGTTTCTTTCTAATAAGATCTGGAGAACGGCTGACCGTAGAAGATGATCGTCGCCCTTTATCTGGAGTAGCGCTCTGACTGCGTTCGATCAGTTCGTTCCGACTAGAATGTCTTCGGTTAGACTGCTCAGATCTTTCTTCAGTACGATCTGAACCACGGATAACGACAGAGGCAGAACGCAGACGCTTCGGTAGATCAGTCTTCGACTCGATTGCTAGTGAATCCTTCGATAGAACCTTACTACCCAGAGGACTTGATGTAGAGTATTTTCTGTCGAGCTCTCTGAGTTTCTCTTTAGTAAGGCTTGGAGACTGCGAGACGGTAGAAGCAGAGGATTGGTGTTTCGCTTGCTCATTCCTTGTTGATCGAGCCGAATCGTCCTTCGATGTATCTTTCGCACGCGGGCGGTCAGAGACAGATTCCACCTTCGGCAAGGATCTTTTCGGACTTTGTGGCGTATTGGGAGCCCGCTTGTCGGATTTTGGACTTGGACTTGATGGATTTATCGGGCTCGAAACTTTCTTCCCGACATCTGACTGCCTTCGGCTATTGCTTTCTTTCTTCTGCGTTGCTGGTGGGTCTTGGTTTCGATGTTTTGGGTCTGTCCTTCCTTTCTGCTTCCACTCAGTTTGAGTTGCCTTCTTTATGGCCTCAATCTCTTTATCGACTTGTCTTTTTGTTTCTCTTCCCTCATTCACCTGTTCTGCTGCTCGTCTCTTAGCTTCTGCCGCTCGTCTTTCGGCATTGGCCTTTTCTTTTTCCATCGCTGTCTCCTTTTCTTGTGCGATCCGCCTCTTACTATCCTCTTCTTGCAAAATGATCTTAGCTGAACAGTTTCTTAGCAACTTTTTGGTGTCTTTGAGGCACTCCAGGTGGTCAGATTCCTCTCCGCCTTTGTATCGATCTGCCTGGAGTATGTCTAGCAGCTCGAGACACCGCGTTGAGGCATCGTTGTATTTCTTCAGGTTGAAGAGTTCTTTTGCGAGGTTGAATCTGACTTTCACTGTCTCGATGTGGTTTCTTCCTAAGCTCTGCTCCGCTCTGTCCAGGGTCTCAATGTTCACATTAACTGCCTTCATAATGTTGCGGTCCGAGCCCGATCCGAACAAAGCTGAAGTGAGGTCGACACGATCTTTGATAACATCCTCCATGGGTTTTCTGGTCTCAGTGTCCACAATGGCTTGGTATGTGCTGATTGCTTTGCCATAATCGTTGTTGGCCAAGTAAGTGTCTGCTAATCGCCGCTGAGCATCGAGATGTCGCTTTTGTGCAGCCGAGATGACGCTATTTTTCGATCCACTCAAGCTTTGGCATCGCTGGAGATTCTCTAAAGTTCTCTTAACAATTTCCAGATGACAGTTTGTGGCTCCCACAATGTCGCCCGCGCTCATGAGAGTGTCAGCCAATCGCTCCCGCGAGTTCAGCGTGGATTCATCCAACTTTCCGCGACGCTCTTCGAGCAGCTTTGTCGCTTTATCGAAAGGCTTCACTGCATCTTGATAACGCGCCTTGCCCACGAGGTCGTCACCTCTCTCGGTAAGCACTTTGATGTCATGGTCGACTGTCATATCACAAGTGATAGGACTGCTAGGCCACAGTAATACCAGAGCTTTTCTTCGTACAAATACTGATCATAACGAGACCGCATAAACCGTATAATGGTACGTTGCTGGTGCCGTCGTGCAAGAGATCTTAGTTGCCGTCTATCTCCAAACGGTGGCTCGTGCCGCGAAAATCGCGAGGTCCGAATCGGTGCAGAACTGGATACTAAGTTGAGCCGCAGTAAGATGGAGTCCTTCGGCTGACCTCGTGATGCCGCTTAGGCAGCTGTAGGGTGGGGGCTGAACGTAGTTCGCCTGCATGCCCCATATAGGCCAAGCGAATATGCAGCCGTTCAACGCAGTACCGGACTAATTGCCCATTGTTAAGTAGCCCATTGTAATTGCGGCACAGCCCCGATACCCGCCAGCCTTCAAGATTCCCAGCCTGCATTTTTCACATTCCTCAAGTCAGTGCCGGCCATGTAGCTTCAATCTTCGCGGCGATGCGAATTAGTTCCACCACATGCCTGCACTTCCTCCTGCGCCTCAGAAAGAATCATGGATAAAAAGTCAAACTTCCCATGGCCCAGATCTGGGATCCAGGCGGCGACCTGCATCCATCCTTGATCCCTTGCCGAGTTTAGTCGATCGAAGGGCGCACACGTCACCTATCGTAGCTGCTGCAGCTGTCGAAGAGACCGGACCGGTCAGCCCAGCGCTCCAACGGCCTTCTAATGAAGTCATTGGGGGAGCTTTCGTAGGAGCATTCTTAGGCTTCTTGATATTGCTACTCCTCATAAAATGCTGTCGCGGCCGAGGTCCCAAAGACGGCGAGAAGAATTCCACAATCTCTAGTTCTACATCTACAGGAAGAACCCCTGGAAACGGTCCCCTACCTCCGCCGCCCATCTATGATCCTCCTGGCCGAAGAAAGACGACCACAGGACAACGAGAAACAGAGAAGTTTGTTGCTGCAATCAGGGGGGGACCGGCATTAGTCGTGAAAAGAAAACCCAGACCGCACCGTCCTGGAAGGCACGGTGTAGAGGACTTGGAATCTTTCTCAAGCCACAGCGACAGGCAGGAGAAAGGAAGAGTATGTTCCCATCTCTGCATATATTACTTCAGCCTAACTAAGTCAAATCACAGTCTGCTCGTCGTGGTGAAGGTATCGAAATCCATAGGATGGATATTCCTAATAATTTCCGACTACCTGGATTCGGCGAAGTGATAAGGGAAGTCAAGCCTTAGGTACCAGGGCTAAGAACTAGCATATACAGATGCGCCATCCAGACGAAAGATCTTTTCATCGTGAAAAGATAAGCTTTTGCGGCGGCAAGCTGGGCTGGGCAGCTGGCCGGGGAACACACCGGATGCACACAGCCCCACCGGTCATGCAGCTACACGTATACGGACGCTCCACATCAGCATCGGCAGCTCATGCATACATCTGACATATGAATTTCCCCTACTCATCTAAGCTTACAAACATCCTATCTAAGTAAGCATCGATTGTAGCCTTCCACCTCAGTCATCTCGCCATGTCCTATACAAAGCCAACTTACTTCCTTGCGCCACGGCGTCCAAGCCCACCAGATGGACCCATACGCCTAGGGGCCATTATACCCTCACCAACTCAACCCGACGAGCCACTATATTTACCTCCGCCACCCCCGAAATCTGATACCAGCAAGTTCACAGAATACAACTGGAGCGGGTCCCACGCCAAACAGTCATCGTCTCACTTCGGAGTCTGGACCTCTTTTCTAGAATGCGTCCTTGGAATTGGTGCAGATGTCAGTGTGAGCTTGGACAAATCTCACCACCAGAGCTGGAAAGTGGATACGATGACGACGCAGTCATTTCTACCTAGTCGCACTTTTCTAGAACAAGTGGTGGGACATGAAGATGTGAGAAGGTACATCACCGAAAACCGTTTCCGCGAGAAGGTCTATATTATCACCGGCGTTATGATCGCATCTTCGGCCGATATCTCGGGCCAGAGACTTCAGGAGAAGGGACTCTACGTTCATGCTGGCGTTGATGCGGCGGCGTGGGCTGGTGTGCCTAGTGGCCTTTCGTTCGGTCCAGAAGGAAATTGGAAACGCAAAGCTGAGACAAAGGAATCGAGTCGAACAGCAGATGATTTTGTCTTTGCGTACAGGATCCGTGAGATCAAGGTACGGAGGAAAGGTGGAGTCAAGGCGGATAAGCTGTATGACAAGGGTGCTTTATTCGATACGGACAAAAAGAGGAAGACAGAAGACTTGTATGAGGTAGAGGTTGATGGCTTGGGTGACGAACCTGATGTTGATGATGTCGATCTGGAAAATATGGAGGTCAGGCAGAAGATTGGAGACGAAGGGGAAGAAGAGGAAGTTGTTTGTGTTTTGCCAGAACCTATGGATTGAGTACACAATTGCATGAACATGCAAGCAAAATGTATATACTGGGAACAAGTACAACTGCTCGTGGCAATATTGTGATAAGTGTTTGAGGTTTCCGAAGTCCAGGTGCAGGCTAGCTCCCGTACGCTAGTTCACCTGGGCAGTGGGCACCCAGGACCCTGACCTGAGGTCTCCACGCAACCACTCACCACTGAGATCGGCACCACCGATCGCGCTGAACCAACGCCGGCTGCATACAATACGAAGAACTATGTCGACGCCATCATTGCTACCAAGTACGTGTACGCACAGACAAGGTAGTCGTGTTTAACGCGTAAGTCGCGTCGAAGCATCGCGATATGCACGCGTCACGACCGTCTGCTTGCGTAGTATTTCAATTCGGCCCAAGTCCTAGCAGCCGTTGCCCAGGGTTCGGAGGGCGATCGCCTGACCAACAGTCCTGGCGGCACTGACCGATGGATTTGTCCAACACTCAAATCTCCCAACACACTCGACTTGTCTCATTTCGAGTGTCGCCTTTGACACAACAAGCACATCGTCGACGCTCCCGCTGCCGAGTCGGACCGGGCCAGTGAGCATGGGGAAAGGCTCGTCGAGGTCTGTGCGCACTTGCGGTACAACGCCCCTTGTCGTCCCACTTCAACTCGTCCCCCTTGAACTACTGGTTTGACCCAAAGCGAAACTGCCAGAAAACGATGCGCTGGAGTTCAAAGCCTTGATACATGATCCCATGGATTGCTTAGACCTCCATCAAGCAAAAATCGGGCTTGTGGTTTAGTGGTATAATACTCCCTTAGCATGGGAGTGGTCCAGGGTTCGATTCCCTGCAAGTCCATTTCTTTTTTGCTGGCAACGACGTCGTGGCAGATGGTGCTGATGTCGCTGAGGTTGCCTAGGATCATGTTTTTGGCCATTTCAGATGGTCCGCGTAAACCATCCCTCTGGCTGATTTCAAGGTTGCTATTCGCACAAGACGCTACAGTGACTACAAGACTCCAAATCACGACTGTCTGCGGTTGAGCTTCATCGGGTCTTCGTCTGTAATAGTGTTTTCCATCGTGTTTGGTTGGTTTGGCACCGGGCACCGTTGTTTATTACAGTGCGCCGTCGCAAGAACATACCAAGATGCCCCGAAGCATGTCTTTGAAAAACATGACAAGGGATGCGAGAAGTTGGTGCTCATAGAGAAGGCATGACATTAAAAACCCCTACCACCCTTCCCGAATGAGCCTCTCCTGAACGGAGTTATCGCTATGAGCACGCTTAACAGGTTGCAGCAAGATATCGTTTTGAACACCCTCCAAAACCGAGCTCGATGTCACCTGAAATGCCATCAGCTTTGGACTAGAGATCAAATTGTCAGCAATATCGATATCGACAGTTGAGAGACTTACTAGCTGTAGAATATGAAAAGATCCAGAAACGCTCGATCAAGCTTTGTGGACCACCTTAACGTAATATCGAGGGCAAAACAGAATCGCTGTCGACAAAATGCATCAACAGCCAAGTATAAGCAATTACTGATTGCCAATGTAACTCAGTTTATTACAGCGAGTTCGGTGGACAAAATCACGCATTGAGATGCATGTTGCTGGATCGGCCGAAAACTCGGTGGAAGACTAGATATATAAGAAACCCGCGTTGCACTTTGTAAAAGACATCTAAAGCATTAGAAGAAGCATCCAGAATCAAAGAGTCTTACATTACCTCTTCTTCTTCAAAACTCCTCCAGAATCAAACCCAAACTCGTAGTTCAACATGGTCAGGATCGCAATCGTAGGTGGTACTGGGAGTATGTTTCTTGCTACCTTGCACGAAGCGAACCAAAACTTACATCTTCGAAGACGTCGGACAGGAGATTTTGGACGTGCTTGTCGCTAGCAAGAAGCACGAAATCTTGATCTTCACCCGCAAGGTCGGTACCCACCAGATGCCCCCCTGCAGACCAGTGCTGACTCTCCTCTAGGATATCTCGATGGAAACCACAGATTCGTCCGTTAAATGGGCCAAATCTACCTACGGGGATGTGAATGAATTAGTTGGTCAACTGCAAGGCATAGACGTGGTGTTGTCATTTATCGCCCCGCATGACCAAGAACAAGGCTTCTCCAGCCAGAAAAACATCATCGACGCGGCAGTAAAGGCCGGCGTCAAGCGACTCGCACCTAGCGAATGGATCTCGTAAGTCGCTATCATCTTGCTAGCTCTTTTCCCATATACTAACGACCTGTTAGAGCTGGCCTAGAGCACCTGGACTGGTACACCTTCAAGGCGCACACACGCCAGTACTTGACAGAGCTCAACAGTGGCAAGAAGGTTATTGAGTACTGTCTCTTCCAGCCAGGTCTCTTCACCAATTACTTTACTCCATACCCGTCAACCAAGCACATCAAGCCACTTGAGACACAGTGGGACTTTGCGAAGCGTAGGGCTATCTTACGGGAAGGCTCTGATAACGACTATGTCACGCTTACGACTGCGGACGATCTAAGCAACGTGGTTGTGCGCGCGGTGGACTACCCCGGCGAATGGCCGCTCGTGGGTGGTATTCGAGGGTCTCGTATTTCCATCAAGGAGCTCATCGCCCTTGGAGAGGAGATACGCGGTTAGTCACCCATCTACTTTCAACTCACTCAACCCCATCCTTTATTGTTTCATCTACTAATCAAGGAGTTTTAGGCGGGCCCTTCACGATCGACAGGATTCCGAACGAAGACTTGAAGAATGGAACATGGGACGCTTCCTGGCTTCCTAAAGTCGAACATCCCTCCATTCCACCAGAGTTTGTTGACGAATTTTCGAAGAAGATGGTGGGCGGTATCTCGTTGGCTATAGGAGCGGGATGTTTCGATGTGGGCGATGAGTGGAATCGTTTATTGCCTGATTTTGAGTTTACGGACGCCAAAGATTTTTTGAGAAAGGCATGGGGTGATAAGAACTGATAACTTGGATTAATCTAGCGTGTTTCGCAGTTGCCAATGGCCGTAGCGCGACCAGTGTAGTCGTAGCTTGGGAAGATTCTCCTAGGGCAGAATCAGAATGTACTGTCGTTCGTTACTGCCTATGCCAAATTCTGCTAGAAGTATTCGACTTGCAGAGAATCTGATCGCGGGATCACTACAACTATGACCAGAGCTGTCGGGTTATGTTGTCGCACGCACCACGTCGTATCGTTCCAAGGTCAGGTACGTCAACGTAGGTGAGGCGAGGTTTCGTCCGCCGAAGCTCGGGCGGGCGACCAGATCACTACCCAACTCATTATAAACATGCATTCGCCTCCGTCCAAGTGCACAACCCCTTCACGTGAAGATGCCGTCACATGTCGACTCCCAAAACGATGAAAGAGCTGCAAAGCGAAGAAAAGTGCGCAAAGGAACTCAGAGTTGCTGGGAATGCAAGAAGCGGAAAGTTCGATGCACATGGGCGTTGCTTACCAACTCAACGTGCGATAATTGTCTACGAAGGAAAACAAAATGCGTCAGTCAGGAGTTCGCGGATGATTCACCTGCGAGTACCAGAGTGACCGATGGAGGAGTAGAAGATCGGTTAAGCCGAGTCGAGAATCTGCTTGAGCGCCTGGTCAACGGCACGGCCTACGCAGGTCGGGACGCGTTGGGAAGTCGCCTCGATACTGCAGTGATGAACGGTTTGAGCAACTTGGTTGTATGTATATGATGTTGAAGATTTGTCTCCAACTACGGCTAACGCCTGCAAGGACTATGCAAGAAACGTTGACATTACCCCATCCACTTCCCCAGAAGCTACATCGGCACTCACAAGTCCACCACAAAATTCAGAACCATTGCATAGCAATCTTTACACTGGAATATCTGGAAATCTCGTGGCAGCATGGCCTAATAGTCAAGACCTCGACTACATTTGCAAACTCCCAGTTGGCCTCTCAACACACTTGCACATCAAACTGACCTCATCTTCGGCCAAAGTCATGAGCCAAGTACCGAAAAGCCCTCGGGAAATGTTGCAGTTACCACCACCGGGATCGCATCCGGTGCTAATAGCCCGGAAGCTTCTTTTGTTAAGCAGTCTATTGCAGGGTGCGCTATCAGCAGGCCAAATCCCACAAGATCAGCATGGACATTTCAGTGAAGTCATGTCTCATGCAATGGATGCAGCAGTGAGAGTTGTGACTTCCAACGACAAGCTGACCGCCTCTGTCGAAGGTATCGAGTGTATCATGATCGAAGCTATGATCCAGAACTACGCTGGCGACCTCCACTGTGCATGGATGACTGCACGCCGGGCGTCTGCTATTGCACAGATGTTGGGTTTGCATCGTGGCAGCTCAAAGCCATCTACTTTCAAAGTCCTGGTTCCAGAAACGAGTTCAGGGTTCGATCCAGATCAATTTTGTTGTCGCATTATCGAAATGGACCGCTATCTGTCGTTGACGCTGGGACTGCCGCAATCTTCACTGGAGACTCGTGGGTTTGGTGCTGAAGCAATGGCGGCATGTCATCCACTTGATCGCATCGCTCGTCTGCAGTGCATAATCGCGGATCGCATTCTGTCACGTCGAGTGGGGGGACCCAACAAGAAGAAAAGCGAGAATATCCAGCATATTGACGAAATGCTAAAGGAGGCGGCTGCACTCATGCCATCGCAGTGGTGGCTGACTCCGGACTTGGACGCCAACAACTTGACAGCACCGAACCCTCTACCAGAAGTCGCTCGTGCAATGTATCAGTTTTCTCATTTCCATCTAGTCTTACGGTTGCATTTACCGTATGTTCTTCGCTCGTCAGGGAACAGCATGTGCGAGCACAGCAAAGCCACTGCTATTCATTCTGCTCGCGAAATCATGTCTCGATACATCGCCTTCCGCAAGTGGAATACTGGAATTTACTACTGCCGTGGAGTAGACTACCTCTCTTTCATAGCCCTTATAGTACTGTGTCTGGTGCACATTGATGCGCGTAATCAACCGATGGCCCAGCACGAAGTAGTTCTCGATCACAGCCGTCCGAGTGACCGCGCGATGATGGAACGAACAGTCGGCATACTACGAATCATGGAAGACGATGCGATCGCAACGAAACTCTCTCGTATTATGGAATACCTTCTTCAGGTGGAAGCAGCATCAGCCAGCGGAATTGGCTACAATACTTCCACTAGCGAGGTTGATGAGGGGCTAGCAACAGAGTGTGACGGTCGGTTTGTGGATGAGGAGAACGGCGTGCTGCAGCTCCAGATACCATATTTTGGTACCATCACTCTTCAGCGTGGGTTGGCTCCGTCTACCGTGACAGCTGCGGGGATTCTATCTACCCAAGCATGTGAGCATACACAGCCATCACTTACAGCGTGGGACAATCAATGGTCATTACTCGATTCATCAGAACATATGGGTGAACTTGACGATTGGACACTGCAGAGCATCAACGAAGGCCTTTTTGGGGATTTACTCGGGTTTGGAAGTACAGATCAGGGCCCTGAGCCAGTTTTGGATGAGTCGTTCATTCACATTCCTTCCAGCCTTGAGATGGGAGAGTAGAGTGGAAGGCGCAAGGGTGAAGGTGTCTTCATCGCAAATAGGCCTAGCGCGTCGCGCAAGGAAGGAGCTCTCATATCTGTCGAAGGGTAAAACGCGGCATCTTTGAAAGTGACATGTTAAGATGTGGATTTCATGGTCAGCTATAGACTTGAAGGATGGTGTATGTGTGTGCGAATGTTCATTCCTAAACTTGTTCAAGTACTGAAATCCTCCAGACAAGGTATCTTTAAGCCCGTGGCTAAATAGCAAAATTTTTAACGCCGGAAAATGCAATCCAATAACACCAGTGTATGCAGATCGTAAATCATGATCTTCGTTTCGCGACACGTCCGCCGGTGCGTCCACCGGTAAAGGGCTTCAGCGCGCCCTTGCCTCGCGAGGCGGGGAAAGAGACCCTGTTCTGAGGTCTGCGGCGAAGTTGTTTCCGGGTCTGGCTCTTGTCCTTGTTCTTGCGCGAGTTCTTTGCAGAGGTGGCGGCAGCGTCAACGTCCATATCTAAGAAGTCAAAGTTAGCCCTTGATTCTCACTCAGCCAGTGCGGAGGAAGCGGGTCAAAGGCGAATTTGAGATGGCCGTGGTTGGTGAAGCCCAGGATGTCAGAGCACAAGCCCAAGTGGAAACACAGATTTCTGAGCTGGCAGTCTTCGTCTGCTGAGTCGAGGGCAATGGAGGAGGGGTCGGAGAGGGAGCGCGGTATGGGGACAGTGAGTAGCGACGAACCTTTGGGCAAGTCCTCCTCCTTGGTGGCATCGTCGGCGGCGCTGGCTGGGACAGAGTTAGAGGGTGCGCATGCTAGGGGTCGGACAGGCGACTCACTTTCTTCGGTTTCCATGTCCGTCTTTTCGGGTTTGGGCTGCGCAATCGTCTCGAGAAGTTTGGCGTGCAGGCGCTCGGCGCGCGCCTGCTCTACGGGGCCAAATACATTGGCGCGAAGCTTGGTGCGGTTCGCCTTTTTGCTGCTTGCTCGTGCGCCTTTGGCCATTGTGTCTGTGTGTGGGATTGGCCGGGAATATCTGGGGTGAAGGCGTTTGCTGGTCGGTGGGGGAAAAGTTGAGGGAAATTTAGTGGCAAAGCGATGCAATCAAGGCCGGCCCGTGCCCCAGTCGCGTTCTTCGCCTAGTTCCAGGTGACGCTGACTTCGGTATATACCCAGCTTGGAGATGCGCTCGCCGCGAGAGCCGCCGCCTACGTCGACGGCCATATAACCCACAGAGTCGCATTGTGGCCTCCCCGTCTGCTGGCCGCCCCCGTCCTTGTTCCGCCCGCGCCTGTGTTGTTGTGCGCTCTGTGTCGCCGCCTGGTTCTCGGGAAGTTGCGACCAACGCCCTTCACTGCCTTCACCTCACCCGACGTCGCCTGCCAGAAGAGACTGCCTCAGACACCCGGCCCCAGATGCCTTCGCGAGATATTCTGCACCGGTAGCGCCTCACTTGCAACCTCCGACATTGCCAGCCCTCCCGACCTCGACCGTGACGGCAGCACACCATGGCGTCCAGCCTGCAGCAGATGGCTGCCACCATCACCGAGCGCTCCAAGACCCTCATAAACAACGACCTCAAGAAGATCCTCAAAGAGGAGGGCACCTCGCAGACGGGCAACAAGGCTGCACTGCAAGCCCGCGTCATTGGCCGTACGTCTCTCCGCTCCCTAACCCCGGGGCCTGCTGTCGCCTCGACACCTGCTAACTTCACCCTCGCCAGTCATCGCCAATGCAGTCTCCAGGAGCGATACCGACCTTTTGCGCCGACTGCAGTACCGCGTGCAACACCACGGAGAGGCGCCTCCCCCAGCCACGACTAGTCCCGTCGCCTCTTCGTACTCGCAGCCGCCTGCGCCCGTTGCCAACGGCTACAGCATGGCCAACGGGTACCAAAACAACGCCGCATACCAGCCCTACCAGCAGCCCCAGCAGCCACCCATGCCGCCCCGACCAACGTATTTCTTCAAGGACAGCCCTTTCTTCGAAATTCGCGAGCTCGTGCTGAGCAATATGTCTTTGGACGCTTCGCCAACTCATCGTGCCACCATATCGCGGAATCTTACCCTCAACGAGAACCAGTCGGCACGCCTAAGAGCCGATTCGTCCCTGCGATTGCTGCTCTTTTCTGCGCTCGAACAGCCCCTGGCTCCCTACTCACGTCTCGATATTGCGTTCCCATCTCAAATCGAGGTCAAGGTCAATGACGAAGAGGTCAAGGCGAACTACAAGGGGCTAAAGAATAAGCCAGGCTCGACGCGTCCTGCAGACATTACTGATTTTGTACGCATGAAGATCGCCAACCAGCGTAACAGCATCCTCATCACCTACGCCCTGACTCAGAAGGCAAGTCGGTCGGAGGTTTCTTATTCCGTCAGCGCCCTGAAACATGACCTCAAGCTGACTTCGAAATCCAGAAATACAACCTGTTTGTCTACTTGGTCAGAAAGTTTTCTGTCGAGGAACTCACAAAACGTATCAAGCAGCGCAATGTCATCACTCGTCAGTCGGTGCTGAACGAAAGTATGTCTTCGCACCAAGCATCTAGGGCACGCGGCATTACTGACCGTATCGCAGTGATGAAAAAGGCCAATGATCCGGACATTGAAGTCGGATCAAGCGTCATGTCGCTAAAGGACCCCATCTCTACCTTGCGCATCGTCACCCCATGCAGGTCAACGGTGTGCACGCATAACCAATGCTTTGATGCCGACTCATTCCTGCAGCTCCAAGAGCAGGCTCCTACATGGACATGCCCAATATGCAGCAAGACGATTTCGTATGAAGCCTTGGCCGTCGATCAGTACGTCGAGGAGATTCTGAGCAAGGCTCGGAATACGGACCAAGTCACCATCCAGCCAAGTGGAGAATGGTCTACCGAAAAGGATGTGAAGCCCAAACAAAATGGGCACCATGACGATAGTGATGACGACCTCATCGAGATACCAGACTACCGTGTACAGGCCATCAAAACCGAAGCCGCGCCAACACCCACTTCGCTCAGTACCCCTCCACTGCCTTCTCGGGAGACTTCTACTGCCCCACGGTCTGCACAGAAGAGAAAGTCTGAGGTGGTGGATCTGACTTTAAGCGATGACGACGAGCCAGTAAGACCAACGAAAAAGGTAGCGTACACTACCCCCAATAGCCTTCCTGATCCGCACCGTCGGTATCATTTACCTCCCCTTGGTAGTCACTCCGCTGCCCATAGTCGTCCACTGCCACCAGCCTACCACAGTGGGTCCCACAGTGGGTCTCTCAGCATGCGCTCTGATTACTCCCGGCCTCCATCCACACCTCCACCACGGCATGGGTATCAATCCTATCGACCAGCACAGCCCGCTTCGCGGCCCAGCTATCCCGGACAGGGTACTTCCTCCTACCCTACCTACCTCGGCTCTTCTTCCCCCTAAACTACATGTTGCGCGTTCTTTTGTATCTTTCATTTTTGTACGACTAAGGTTCACCAGCTAACACTACCTCGGGTTTGTAGGGCAGAACAGGGACCGGATGAGGTAGCATAGCACCCACCTAGGCAGCCCACTTCGCCACGGACCGTTGCGCCGTGGGCAAGCCGTGTAGGCTGATCAAGTGAAGTTCCCTACATGATCCTCTCATCTCTTTCCTAAGTTGTCAAGAGAATTTAGCGCGAGGCGTTTGGGAGAGGCTACATTTCATGATCTATCTGCTTATGGCGTACAACACTGATTGGGGGCATTGAGGATACCACCGCATGGGAGATTTGCATGCATTTTGAAAGCTCACACGAACGACTTTCTGCGATGATGAGAAGAGAGTAGAAGCTGCGCGAGGCGAAGGAAGGGAATGTGGAGGTGCTATTTCATGTAAAATCGTGTAGCAATGACGTCTTTTGATCTCCGTCATATTGAATAATTTCAAGTCGACCTAGACTGATGTTTCACCGTGACAGAACTACCTAGCCCTTGGACAACTGCGAGTCGAAGTGCTTCATTGTTGGATACATTTTCACTTTGTTCTAAACTTCTATGATCTACTTGCAAGCTTGCGTGGTTGACCCTTTGGCTTCGACGCTGTTGCAGGCTCTGATGTGTCGCCATCAGATTTTGGTGCTTCACCTTCAGGTTTTGACACGCCGTCCCCAGATTGTGATCCTATTTCCTGTTCACGCTGGGCTAGAGCCTTTTCCCTTTCATCCAGCTCGGCCTGTCGCCGATCAAGCTCACTTTCCCGTTGATCAAGCTTCTTCTCTCGTTCGTCCAGTTCCTCACCATTTTGCGTGTCGGGTCTCCCGGTAGCATCCGATGGCTCTGTCTTTGCTGATTGTGCTTCGCCATCTTCCTGCTTTGCATTCAACTTCCGTGGCTTCTTACGACCCTGTGTGTCACTTTTTTGCGTCGAATCGCTCTTTGATGGCTCCGCAGGCAGGCTTTCGCTGGGCTTCGAGTCTGAATCTCCACCGCCAGCTTGAGCGCCAGCCTTTGCTGCATCCGATACCTCTTTCTGATCCGGCATCATGCCCTTCGCACTTTCCATCCAGCCTTCGTCAATCTTGCCTCCACCTCCTTCGCTCTTGAATTTTTCAAGCTCTTCAGTGCCAGGCATTTCTTCCTCATTAGCCTGTCCCACCATCTTCTCTAGCGTCCTCTTCTGCTCCTCGCTTGCTGCCCATTGTGGGATCCAGCTTGTGAGCTTCTTCATCCCCTTTCCGGCTACTTTGCCCATATTCACCCATGGACCATGGATTGCCCCTGTAACTCCGCCCAATCCAGCTCCTATCCCACCGAGAAGGGTCGAAGAGATGCCGCCAACTAAAGTGCCTGTTATAGCACCCAACGTAGCTCCAGGTGCGACACCAAGGCCCGTGCCCGCTGCCATACCTTGGAAAGCACCTGAACGAAGATATTTCGCCGTCTTTCCGAATGACTCGGCCTCGATATGGGCATTTGTAGCCTCTTCTGTCAGTCTTTGTCGTTCGTCCGGATCACTGGCGGCGGCCGCTGCATCTTTCAATTCTTTTGCTTTCTTTTGTGCTGCAAGGGCAGCGTTCGCGGCTTTTCCAGATTCTTGCCGCACTTCCTCTTCTGAAACGGCAGGCTTCTTGGACTTTGAGTCGTCTTGGGACTTCTTGTCTCCATCTTTGTTTAACTTCTTTGGAGGCATGATTGTGGTTGTCGTTTTCGCAGTTGTAGCTGCTGCTGTACGTATCGTGTAAGCAACCCCTACCGGCAATGTACGTCATCGTCGCTAGCCCCACCAGAGAAGCCTGAATTGCACGCGTTCAAGACGCGTCACGACCGCTCCAAATTTCATCCTCCATGCACGCGTGCTTTCCGCTTTATAGGCACAGTTAGTATCACTACAGCTGTTGACACGTCTTAGTCGATTGCGATGCATAGCAGATTGCTCTTGAAGAAATTACTCGACACGTCGGGACGACTGCCTCATCGTAATGAAGAAGTCGCAGATATATGATGGCGGGATTGAATAATGTGCGAAGTTCAATACTGACACTGAATAGGACACTATCTACTAAGCGCGACACATCCGACCGTCCGTCTGAACCGTCCACGCCTCGCTACCGACACCAACCGTGGCGTAGAATAGACCAGAGGGATCCCATTTCTTCTTGATATTCAACAACTTGCCGTAGTTCTCTCCCCAGAATGTATCAGCGAAGTTTGGTTGACGAAAGTCAGCCTCGTTCACATATGACCCACTACCCGGTGTCGCAGCCTCAACAAGAGGAACGATTTCATTTGTCATCTTCTCCTGGACTGCAAACGCTTCCGACCACGGAGCTGTGAAGTTCCACGGAAGCGTCAATGTCGCGTGCACAATTGCCTTGCGCCAGGCTGGGTGGACTGAAGTCGTCTGCTGCGAGCCAAAAGACTTCACATCTGTTCCTACTCCGATCCAGGTCACTCCCTTTTCCACGACAGCCTTCCAGGTCTCGGTGATGTTGCTGACGACGCTCCGAGGAATCAATCGGGTACCGTACTGGGCAATACCTACTTGGATGTTCCCGAGTGGAAGAGGGCCAAAATACTTGTCGTAGTGCTCGTAGTACGTGTCGAACTCACTGTACTCAGCAGTATAGTTGACACCTTTGGAGTCCAACCTAGCAACGAAAGGCGCGAGCATGGCCTTGACCTCGACCTCCGTCTTGTTGTAGGCGTTAAGTGGGGAGATCATGAAGAACGAGGACGTAAAGTAATGGACCACCATTGCTCCGGCATCTACCATTGCCGGTAACTCTTCGTGGAATGCTTGGATAGCATCATAAAACACATCCTGGGCATTGTCCGTTGTGAAGAACGATAGCGAGGCACCACCAAAAACAGCCTCCTTGTGTGCCTTGACAGTCATCCCAACTACAACACCATACGTGCTGCCACCACCGCCATTGAGAGCCCAGTACAGATCTGAATTCTCCTTGGGGTTCGCGTTAACAAGCTTTCCGCTGGCAGTCACGACTTCCCAGTTCAAAACATTGTCAGCAGCAAGACCAAAGCTGGTACTGATGGCCGAGTGCCCACCACCCTGGGTGTAACCGCCAGCAACGCCGACTGTAGGGCACTCGCCTCCAACCACAACTAAGCCCTTGTCTCGGGAAGCAGCCATAAGCTCGAATCCCTGAACACCGGCACCAATCTTGAAAGCTGGGCCGTTATATCCTGAGCCCTTGTATGCTGGAACGTGGGTAATGTCCTTCAGATGATGTGTCCATACCGCTAGTGAGCCCGCGCCGGTGGAGCGACCCAGATAATCATGGCCCGTGTTGCGGATCACAAGGCGGATATTCTTAGATGCAGCGAATGCGATTGCTTTTTGGACGTCTGCAGGTCCAGAAGCATCAACGGCATAACGGACGTAGTTGCCAAGCTCACACGGGCGGTCTCGAGGCTGAAAGGGATCGCAGCTCTGGTTGGCGAAGAAAGGTGCCATCACAGATGAGGACGATTCATAACTAGCTGTCTGTAAGTATGATACTTTGAATATATACGATCGGTACCTACTGGATCTTTTCGTACTGCCACTGACTCTTCAGGCTTTCGCAAGCCGCGTTATCAAAAGTCGAACCGTGACAGGGTGCGCCAAGTGGTACGGTAGCCACCAAACGCCCGCCTACTGTCTTGTTCAAACTGTTCCAGTCCGATTGCGAAGGCCATGACTTGTCTCCAGGGAATGATTTGCATCGATTTGAGGTTGGATTGGTGGCAGAAACGACGCTAAGAAGCGTGAGAATGAAGACGAAGGAACGCATGACAAGGGCCCTGGGAGAGGAGAGTTTCGGCGACCTGAGGGATATCAATCTGCAAGACATACGGGTTAATATAAAGAGAAATTCAGGCGCCTTGCATGCACCGCGCCTCATGGTGGCGACAAGGCTAGAGTAGCTGTGGGACTACAAATCTAGTCTCCGGTGAGATGGGCCGTCCCGGTACCGTGCACCATTCTACGACCGTTGCGACTAATTTCATCGAATCCTTCTCGTCGACAAGAAGTAATTACGACGTCGAAAGCGTCCATGGTCTGTAGATGGTCGATAGAAAGAGACGCTTCGTCAATGTGGACACACAGCTGATGAATGAACATGAACATCTCAGAATTACTCTGCTCGCATAGCACGGCGTAACTGCCATGGACGCGGTCAATTGGTAGTTGGGGCCTGCATCTATCAACAGGGATCTTTCCAAGCTTTCCTCTATCGAGGAACATCCGATGCAACCGACTATTTCACCGCAAGGGCGGGTCGGCGGCTCTCCAGACGAACTGCAATCGTCCCATCCCGTCTTTCCAGACCCTTAAAACTAGGAGATATTTCACCGAAGGATGCCGAAAACTATTCCCGTCGCAGTTACCAATATGCCGTGATATAATAGTCTAGCTCTGACAAGAAGGTGTCTTGTATACGCCAACGCCTGAGCTGCTTTGCAACCATGTGCATTAACAGTTAGCCTGCTATAACTTCGGAGAATACTGAGAGTATTCGCACGTTTCACCTCATATGAGGTTTTACTCTTCTCTCGACCAAGGCATGCCTCCCTGACCAGTACAAGATGGACCGGGTAAAGTCCATGCTCACCCCCACGTCTGTTTCCGACCTTGTTAGTGACCAATACGCCGGGATGCTCGGAACAATGCAAGTATTGGATTCCAAGACCTAGTAAGAGGAGCAATGTTTTTGCGATGGTGATGCGAGAATTCTACAACAACTGGAAAGAAATCACCATAGAGAGGCCAGAGCGATGGGTTGGACCTACAATACTCCGGACGATGCCGCCAACGACGGACCACATATCACTGCTGTCGCAATCATCTTCACGGCCTTGTCACTTTCCATCCTGTCCCTTCGCTTTTACGTGCGTGGTTGGATGATTAAGGCAATTGGAGCTGGTACGTACCGTGATAGGGAACATGCTTTCGACAGATAACTAACGATTGCTACTAGACGACTGGATATTGATCGCGACTTGGGTCAGCAGCTACACTCTTTGCTGTAGTATCGAAACTGACAATTTAGCAGATAGCGTCCTGCGGCTTCGCCGTTGTGACGATCGTCCGTACGTTGATTGAGCGGGCTGCCGCGACACTGCGACTGACTGTGTGATATCAGAAACCAAATGGGGTCTTGGACTAAAACATCTGGACGACATGCCTATTCAAAACCTATACAACTTCGGACTCGTAAGTATCACAAGTTCAATTGGAGAAGGCCCGGTCCTAACCAAACCAGATGCAGTACATGGGTGCACCATTGTGAGGCGAAGCGTACGATACGATATCGATTCATTTAGCTGACTATCGAAGCTACATAACCAGTATACTCGGCTTCAAGCTAAGTCTGCTGTTGACGTATCTACGTATCATGCCGAAGGGTGTGTCGCGTAACGCTACGATCGCCGTAATAGTTGCATGCATACTCTTTCACCTTTGCTTTCTTATTGTTCAGACGAACCTCTGCCAACCGGTAAGTCCCACTACCCTCCGTGACCCATAGCATTCTGCTGACCCGACCAAGGCCGCGAAACAATGGGACCCTTCTATCACCTGGGGTCAGTGTCTGCCAGCCGTTCCCTTCTACACCAGTATGGCGTCCTTGACTATCGTATTCGACGTTATAGTGTAAGCAATTCACTCGCAACTGTCGGCAAAAACTTACTCCAACTCAATAGCATGTTCCTACCCTTTCCCGTTCTCCTCAAAAGCCACATCCAGAAGCGGAAGAAATTCGCCTTACTCGGACTCCTCGCTCTAGGCACTTTCATCACAATTATCCAAGTCCTACGCATCCGAACCGTTCGAAACTTAGCCAACTATCTCGACTCAGGCAGTCTGATTATGTGGTCGACTGTAGAGAACAATTTGGGTATTATCGTCGCTTCTATCCCGACGTTAGCACCCCTGTTCAAATACTTCGTCGAGAAGACCCAGAAGAGCTCTAATGGCAACTCTGCGACGCGATCGCGGTCTATGTACGGTTTGAAGTCGAGACGCACTACGAGACAAGGCTCTATCCCGCTAGGTAGTGGTGTCCATCAGGCAACGCACGTTTCTGGGCCTTTTGAGGGAGGGAGCGAGGAGTTTATTATGGGTGATATCGCTGCTATAACGAAGAAAACGGAAGTCACTGTTTCTTCTCGTGTTCGCGAGGAGTCGGACAGGTCGGGAAAATAATCATCTTCCCTTGCGGGCAATACATGGAAGATACTGTGGTTCGATTTCTTCTTTAGCACCATTATATAAGCAGTTTTCATCTACAATATTATGTACGTCGAAGCTGACTTCATTCCTTCATATTCATTGTAAAAGTGTCTCATTATTTCAGCGTCAAGAGGAGAGAACGTTAGATCATGGACCGTGTTTTGTTATCGAGCCTTGCTATAGAATGTTGTAATTCATGACACAACAACAAAAGTGCGCGTCATTTTAGACACAACCAACATCGAGTGGAAGAACAGTATACCTGATCTGATGATGACAGGATAGCGCATGCACTGGTGATCCGTAAGGCAACACATACGGTCAGACGGTTAGATTCTTTGGAAGTTTGTTCGCACATCGCTAGCCTTGTCCGGCATGGAGACACCCATTCCTATATCTGGTGAGCGACCAAAGGACGACAGTTTTGACTTATACGCGTGTGGTAGGCTATCTCTGGCTACCACAAGCAGCAGACAGAGGATAATCAGAATTCCTGCTTGGAGACGGCCATAGCGCTTCGTGGAAAACCCCCCATCTTAGGACAAAACGCGTCCAACTCTCTTGCCAGTCTTTTTCCCATGTCCCATCATTCATCGATGAAACATGTATCCAACATATACAGGACTTTTTACCAATAACATACACCAACTCGAGTCGGTGACTCTCCTCCAAATCAGGGAAGAAGAGGATCAAGGCCTTTAAAGTCGGAAGATGGTGTCCGAGTAATGAGAGGCGGTCATTGTAGGCGGAGAGTTGATAGATCTCTTTGTATATGTGGAAGATGAAGTTCAGGACTGACTGGCGCGGGTAGTCTTCTTCCGTAGCGCAGTAGTCAATGAGTCCGGTGACTTGGGCCAACCTGGAGTCGAGATCACGGCTCGCATCTGCTACCATCCGAGACAATGGATTGTAGTACCGAATTGTTCATTCTTCAAGCTTTCATCGAACAATTTGGATTCCCAATCAGTTCTGCCTCGCACTAAGATATGTTACTTTTGTATCGATGAGGTGACAAGTGCAGAAGATGGCGGATGGCGCACACTGAACTACTATGGTAAAAGAGGCGCCTTGTGGTTGGTTATAAAATGATAACTCGTGCCAGATATCATGCTTAGTTGCGTCTAATGAGCTGGTCAAAGCCATTCAGAGCGTGTTCAGAACTTTGGAGACAGATGTAAACTTACGTGGCACTCACTTGTAGACTACGAAAGTGAACTGACAAAGTGAGGAATTGTTAGACGCGTACCTCGTACATCCAAAGATACCCAGAACGGAGGGTTTCACTAGAAACTCAGCGAAGCAAAAGAATTGACCTACCATGGAAGCCATTCTGTGACTCGTCTGTAATCTGAAGAGTAGTAGTCGGCTAACGTCGAGTGGTCAGAATGATAAGTTGTAGTGGTCGTCCACCTTCGTTCGAGACTATGATGTCGATACTCCGTCGCGAAACAACGCACTGATGTAAAGCTTTGATAGCAGAAACAAGCTGATCATCCCCAAGATGGAAGGAGTGCTCGAGATACAAAGTTTGAAAGAGGGATTGCTGCCTGAACATTTGTCAAAGCGGCGCATTCGCCCTACACCCGTGCACCAATATCGCAAGATTCATATAAACGTTGAACAGCTGCCTTGCAGCGCAAGATGCTCTCAAAGTGGCCAAAGGACCAGACGGCATAAAAATCTTCTAACGAATAAGCAAGCAGTGATTGAAAACGATTTAAATACTACAGCAAATTGGGTATGTAGACGCCAGAACTTCTCCAGAAAAATGAAGCATTGGTGGCTCCTGTAAAGCAAAGTCTGAAATATGTGAATGCAGTCAGATGATCGTCCGAATCAGATGAAAGACGGGGATAGCAAAAGCGTTGCTATCACGAAAAGACTGGTCATGACAATGGCATGATCGGAGGCTCCGGACCTGCCGGTACTACGCCGTTACCAACAGTCACAGCTGAGTATCCTTCCTTTATCTGGTAAAGTCAGTACTGTTATGTCGTTATTTGGGGTTCTTTTCGTACCAAGTCGAAATGGGTTGTGGCCCGGAAGGCGCCACCCGTTTCAGGCCCATCGCTCCAGTAAAGACGCCTCAACCAAGCATGGAGACGCGGATAGTCTAGACGTATCATCTTCTTGTTGCATTTGAAAAGAGTGTAGTATGCAACGTCAAAGCGAATGATTGTCGTGTATAGTCGAATGTCGGCCTCGGTGATGTATTGTCCAAAAAGGTAAGGGTAGTGCTTAGGCTGTGAGAGGTGGTCTTCAAGGCGATCAAGGGACTTGAAAAGCTTGCTGACATGTTCATCATAGGACGCCTGTGAGGTTGCAAAACCAACTTTATACACACCGTTGTTCACTGTGTCATGTACCCATGAAAGCAGCGAATCCATCTCCGTCAGGATGTGCGCAGGTCTGAAGCCCGCCACTCCTTTGTTGATCTCGCGACGTTCCGGGGGTAGAAGAGGATCGAAGGCATCGAACAGCATATGAATGATCTCGGCGGCTTCGTTGTTGACAGCGGTACCTGAGCGCTGTCAGTCTGTAGGCCATTACGCTAACTCTCGGGTGTTTTCACCATTAAATGTATCCCAAAGCAAAGGGACCGTGATTCTGCCATTGTATTTTGGGTCCGCCCTCAGATAGATCTCTTTCAACCACTTTGCACCATACACGGGGTCTCTCTCTGGCCCGCTACGCCCAGAGAAAAACCATCCATGCGCTGCATCCCTTCCATCGACCTCTACCAGGTCTAAGACATCTCCCAGTCCCTTCAATGCGAAAACAATGGCCGCTCGGTGTGCCCAGGGACAAATGTAGTTGAGGTAGAGTACGTATCGGCCCTTTTCGGCAGGAAAGCGCGCGGATGGAATCCTATCTCGGAACTGCGAAGGCATGTGGTTCCATTGGCTGTTGACGTCAACAGGGTCGCGAGGTAATGGCTTTGCAAAAGAATGTCAGTAAGCATGCACGGTAAAAGAGGACAGGAAGGAAAAGCCTAGTCGAACCTTTGAAACCGTCATAGCCGGTGGCTTTATAACTCGTCGCTGATGCTACGCAAACTAATTCCGAACATATCCTGTCTGCAGATGGGCAGCCCATGACGTTTTCTTAAAGACCTGAGCCCTTTACCGCCGGCGTATTGTGATTACAAAACAGCAGAATGCGGACAAGGGTAACGTCTGATTAGTAGGAACTACCTACGCGTGAGCGTCAGCCTCCGCGGATCAGAAAACACGCCAAGTAAATTGCCGAGTTGCAGTCATCGCTACTAAGAGCCATGTGGCGATGGTGTTGTAGGTGATCGATAGTTCCTGTCAAATGGCGAGATGGATTCCATTGCAGACGCGGTCGACGAGGGACGTGAAGGTGAGCTCGTGCCATGCATCCCCGCCGATCAGCCGAGGCTCGCTTAGACGAAGGTTTAGTTTCACTTCGTCGCACGGTATCCGCTCACCTTTTTCAAGCCCGATCCGTTCTGCTGCTCTAATTCGTGTCGCAAAGCACACAGCCGTATGGCTTCCTGCAATGATTTTGTTGCCGTCCTACCATATTGATACTATTGGCGGACAAGACCGTTGGTGACGTGGCCGAAATGATTGGCGCCCTCTCCTAGTCCCAATAAATACCACAGCCCGGACGGATTAGCTGATTTGCGGTTCTGCAAGAGATGGAAACACGGCAACTCGGACGTTCAGTCATCACTATCCGATGATAATTTACTAAGAGGCTTCGAGAGTCGCATGCTTGGTACTCCGTCCGTACAACGATCGGTAATCCCACTTCCTGAAGGACCCAACGAGCGAAGTATGCGATCTGCCATTTACGAGGTCGTTTACGAGAGGCATACCTATCTGCATGCACCAAGCATATCGTCAGAAGAATTGGCCGCACTCTCGTCCGCTTGTGTCAGTCTGTGCACTTGTTGGCTTTCCGGCGTCGCCTGTACTCACGTCAGAAGATGCGATTAACGAATCACCGCGTAGGAGGCGGGGTACGTCGATGTGGAAGCGAGGGAGGGTATGAATGCAGTCCATCTGAGGATACTATCTATACGGCATCAGGCTGAAAGGCGCGCCTATTGCTAATGGTTGCGCCCTCTATACACTTGCCAAGAGAAATACTACCATTCATCGTGCAAGCCGAGCTTTTTTACTTGGTCTATACAACATCTGCCGGATCTTTGGAGAGGGAGGTTTGAACATCGTTGACAACTATAGGTGAGACGCTGCAGCAAGGGCCATTAGGTCCGGATGCCGATGTCAAGCAAGACATGCAAACGATTACGCACGATGACATTGATGCCAGATGAGACCAAAGTTCCACCCTGCTCCGTTATGGAACTGTAGACTATCTGAGCGCATACACAATCTGCCATGTGAATGGATACATTACTTTGCATATCCCGCACTGACTCTTTTGCTTCTGGATCTTGATACCTTGGTCGCGATTCCACAAGAAATTTGAGTGTTTCAAAGCCCAATCTTGCGCATACAGGTTGTGTATGCGAATTACTGATTGCATTGTCATGGCAGCAAAATTCGCTCGTTGGCGTTCACTTTCCCGGTAGGTATGAGTATACAGCGCCGATCTGATTACTCATATTTCCACGCTATGTCCTGATGTACGACGAGGGCCCACTTTAACAAGAACGCCAAATATCTTCTGGAAATGCGTTCAGGCCATCTCATTTGCTGGAGCATACGCCCGTAAAATGGGTGGAGGCCCAAGTAGGAGTCGGAATATGCTTGATTCCGTGCTTGAGGCTAATGTCATCAACAGCCGAAGCTATGTTGAGTGACATGACCTCAGTTCTTCGATTAATCTCCGTGGTAGTCGCGCGCGTACCACACAAAGTGGAAAGCATGTGATATCGATCGACTGAAAGGTCGTACACTGACTACACTGCATACAACATAGGCTGCAAGCACTCGCAGGAAATACTATGAGTTCAACAATGGCGCAAACATGCACACACAGCCATTCGCTTACTCCTTGTGCGACATGAATTGTTCTCGCCGCCCGTTCAAGCCAGTTCCAGAAGTCTGTCAAGGCAATACGCTGTCTCCAGCATTGGACTAGTAAGATCAAGTCGTATTTCTGCTTTCACCAAAGCACTGAGATGGAGTAATCCCAAAGATCTCTCTGCTTCCTTCTTCGCCTACAGAAAAAATTTCAGCAATTTGGGTGCCGTTCCCTGTATCCACGCTGGTGCGACATCTTTCAATGTTCCGCTGTGTCCTTGAGGAGCCAGTCGTCGATAGGCCATTATAAAGCATACATTCGGATATAGCCGAAAGATGTCCGTACCAGGGGAACAACTCAAGTTCTGTAGTGGAAGGATAAAAACCGACCTCTAAGGTCAACTATAATCCGACCCAGAAATCAATTATGTGTTATCCACATCTGGATACTACACTACCATAATCAAGTTCAGATCTGCCTGGCGATGTGCAACGAGCACCACTGATTGGTACAATCAGCCCGCGTTTTACATTCAGTATGTAACATGACGATATAAGAGACGATGCCAGTATTATGGACGGCTCAAAGTCTTCCCAAGCGTGTAAGTATATATGCGCTGTCCATCACGAGATGCATGTGTTTTTTACTACGTCAATATTCCATGGCCAACCCGATTTGTGCCTGAACTCCGTCACAAGGAAGTACGATCGCTATCGACCTTTTGTGGAAGTTGATGGTTTTGACGGCTATATTGACAAACTAACGAGCTGTTTGCCGCGGCCCTACTCGAGGCCTAGTTATCTACCGAATCATCACCCGAAGCTCTTGGTCCCCACCAGCATGCATTTGACTTCCCCAGATTTTCTCCTCAATTCGTCTGTTCGCAATCCACTATTAATCTACATTGATCGTCTTGGCACTTTTATCCTTGTTCGTGTATGATGGATAGGGCAGATCGACAATGGTGCGGTCGACTATATAAGACATGCACATTGAGAGAGCAATTGCTAACATAAGGTTCTGAATATCCACTGACCTCGAAAGCTCGCCATCGACATGCTTAATTCTGCCCTTCTATCGTTACTTGGCATCGCGCCCAGCTTTTTCGGTAACGCTCTTGCACAGACTTTTACGCCGGCACCTGGCAACTTCCCAGCCAAAGGTGATGGTGACTTCGCGGGTGGCATCTTCAGCATCTCCCTCGCTGAGCTACCTAAATATGCTGGCGCGGGTGGAACCGGACCTGAGGCTCCCAAAGGCAATGGTGCGAAGACATCTGGCTCAGGACCCTATCCTGCACAGATGTTGACCGACTCTTCGCTACCGGGACACACAATCTTCGCGCCTAAGACTCTTCCAGCCGGAAATCTCAGTGTGCCTTTCATTGCATGGGGCAATGGAGGATGCGGCCTCAACGCAGGTATCTACGAGCGCTTGTTAGTAGAAATTGCTAGCTACGGATACATTATCGCCGCAGACGGCACGCCCACGGGCTCTGGTTTCCAATCTGGTCAACAGTCCAAAGTACAGGACATGCGGGACTCCCTGAACTGGGCGTTTGCAGGCAAAGCGACGAAATACGGAAACGTCGATTTGACCAAAGTCACGACTGCAGGCCACAGCTGTGGGGGCCTGGAAGCCATGTCGACGGCGTACCGTGATGAGAGGGTGAAGAGAATCATGCTATTCAACATTGCGATATTCCAGGATGACAGGAGGTACCTACTCAAGGAGATCAAGGTGCCAATCGTATATCTCATTGGAGGGCCGAAGGATATGGGTTATAATACTGTGAGTCTGTCTTTCTTATGTTTTGGTCTTGATGTAGTCCAATACTAATACTGAAAATACGATAGTCGGCTAAAGATTATGCGCTTCTGAACGCGGGGCTTCCCAAACTCAGGGCCAACCTCGATACTGGCCATGACGGGACTTTCGCCGCTACAAATGGTGGCAAACAGGGTAAAGCAGCTGTGGCATACTTGGAATGGCAGTGGAGAGGTAACGCGACTGCTCAAGCATACCTACTTGACGGCGGTCTGGAGAAGGACAACTGGATTGAAGAGCATGCCAACTGGGTATGAGATTCGTGTCGCTGTTCATGTGCACTGAGGAATCTGTGGCGATGAAGCATGCTGGCTCACCGCGAACAGTTGAGAGAGAGAGTATGAGTGGTGCGCAGATGAAGTAGGAGTGAGTTTATTCTCCAAAATGACACCGGTGAACAATTCTGTCTTGGCGCAATTTTCGAGCTGTAGTGCGATGGCTGTGCGATGGCTGTGGGCTGTAGAGCTGAATGAACACGAAGTCACATGGTCTAAGCAAGGCATAATCGGCAACCGACCGCCTCGCAAAGCCCAAAGGCATCCAGGTGAAATGCTGGAAACTTGGACATGAAAGCGATACTATAAGTTCGTTCGGGTGTGCCAGTGCGCGCACAATCAGGCCGGTCGGAGCCAACGTCATCGCCATCACCCAGCAACGAGCGCGCCAAAGCGTAGCCAGGAACGCCCTTCTCTAGCCTCTTTTCCGCCTAAGTTGCTCGCTACCCGTTCTCGACCCTCTATTAATAACCACCAGCGACGCTACACTCTGGTTGCCGGGTTAGGTACAAACCCTGCAGAAGCGAAGAGCGGGCTGCGCGGCGGGGACGCGACTGGGTGGTTTGCAGCTTCGGGATCCACCAAGCAGTGAGGCTGAGACTCGAAAGGTGTCTGACATAGCACTCCATCCTTCCCTCGTTGCCGTACGAGTCTACGACATTCTTTGACAGTTTCTACGTCTCCTTGTGCACACGACGCGACAACGCTTTTGATATTGTTTGTTGTTGGCGGGCATTTGCATATCGCAGAGAGCAGACTCGGAAGCACCGAAGCCACCCGTATTGACGTACTCGTAGGGCTGAGTGAGCTGTCTGTTTACGCTCACCCTTCCCGGCTTTCCGCCCCCTTCCACACATACCAGGACTTTGAGGATCTGGATACACACAAAGACGAACGATATGCGGATACCGCAGTCATATATTCAGAAGTGCAAGGTGGTGGCACATGTTTTCCAGGCCATCTTCGTCTTCATAGCAGCATGTCTGACCATCGCCGTTATGACCAAGGACGGAGATATTGGAGGGGCTACTAGGTATTTCTTTGCTATGGTAAGTGACATCCTTTCCTGTGCGCTTTGTGTGCGACGTCGTCTTGAAGACCGGTCTATCGCGACAGCATGGAGAAGGCTAACAGAAGACTGGCTATAGTGCTTCCTATCCATACCCGCCATCATCTACCTCACAATGGTACCCATGTGGTCGCGCGCCCAACGCTTCGCCTCCGCCTACGCTTTCCTCGCTGTCGACGCTTTATACACTATCCTTTGGTTCGCGGCCTTCATTGCGGTGGCTATGTGGAACGCCCACGGTATCAAGGAGGGAGCCAAGAAGGAGAAGATTTCGGATGATGACCGGAATTGCACAACATTCCTTTATGGAGACGAGGCCAAGTGCAAAGTCAGCAAGGCTGCTGTAGGTGTAGGTGTCATGGTGTTGTAAGTACTTTTCATTTCCTACCTGTGAATCATGTCGCAACACCTACTAACCCTCCGTAGCCTCTTCTTCGCCATCACAACGGGCGTATCCGGCTATTACCTCCACAAATATCTCCGTGAAGGCGTCATGCCCTACCAATCCTCCAAGGAGAACACACACTACGCTTCCGGCGACTCCGCCTACAACAATCCCAAAGACACAACCTGGTCCACTGAAATCGAAACCGCAAACGGTCGCGACTCATCTGATTCCCTTGATCGCCGCACAGATCGTGGTGGCAACCAAGAAGAAGACGAATATGCGCTGCTACACAGCACAGAAACAGATGAAGGCAGACACCCTGGTCGACCACTGAGTTGGGGTGAGGACAGGAATGGAACTTATGGCGGTGGTGGCAGAACCACTGTTCCTCCATATGCGGAATACAGGGATAGCGGCAGCATAGCTGCTGGCGTGGATGCATTAAGTCCAGGCGGTTATGAAGAGTATAGGAGAGAGGCCAGCGCGGGGCCTTTGGGTGGCATGGGTATGGAACGACAACCCAGCCACGTCAGTCACGCTGGGAGTGGGTATAGCTTTAGTGGCGGGCCAGAGCGCCTGAATTAAAGAGGCACGGTCGGGGGAGAGGCGTTGACATTGAGTCATTCTTGTTTATGAGTGCTTCTCTTGTTACAGAGTTGCTAGATCACATTGCATTGGGCTTATGGTTGGGTCTGGCGTCATGTTTGAATCTCTTGCATTCCTCGTCTTGCGCTTCAGCGAACTGCTTTTACGTATGAATACTCATCTCTTCGCACCAAGACTTGTGACAGCAACTAGCGCTTCGCGAAACGTTGGACGAGTTCTAGATCGCGTTCGTGTTGCCCACCGATCGTGTAGAACCAATATGCATCTTGTTTCCTCCACCACCGGTTTGGTAGATAGGCTTCAAGCATGTAGTATTCATCCCGCTGATATGGAAACTCCAAACTCGGCGGTCCGTGTTTGGCCAAAAAAGCATCCGTCTCTTCAGCAGCCTCAGCAGCTGTCATGTCAACATGGACTCGTTTGTTCCCTCTGTTCTTCGAGTGCCGCCATATGGCGCGAACGGTGGAATCAAGGTGCCGTTGCAGGATGACGGCGTGCCATAGCGAATTCTCGATGGCTTTGCGAGCGATACGTCCGTGGCGCGCTACCAGCTCCTTGTTCCACTCTGGTATCTGCCCACGCGGTATGATGGGGAGTGGGGTTCCAGAATCGAGATAGTCCTGCCAGTGCGCAAAGTCCAGGACTAGCCCTAGATTATTCCACGTCAGGATGCAGGTGAGACAGGTGCACAGCTGGTGTGCATCTGGCGATTGAATGTGTTGGTACGGGCGATTGTGTATATTAAGCTGCTTCTGACGCGCGGGGTCGACAAGGAGGGGTTGTATTGCAGGGTCGACGTCGGCGAGGAGCCTGGGCGTCGGGAGGCATTTGATGAGTATGCTGTAGCGCCGTGCGATGATGGCGTCGCCGATGATATTCGCGTTGGCTTTGACAAGGCTCTGGAAGCGGCGATTGACTAAGCTGAAATCGATTACGTCGCAGGGGCGGAGATATTTGAGGCTCTCGAGAATGAGCTCGGTAGGCAGCTTGGTAATGTTCACAATGGCATCGCGTTTCTGCTGTCTCGTAGCATTCTTGCGCTTCATGCGCTCCGTCTTCTTGTTTTTAAGGGTGAGGGCTGCCGTCTTGTCTTCAAGTGGCTCGTCATCGTCGCTGACAGCATATCGTGGCATAATTTCGAGATGAGACGGAAGGCATCAGAGAGTGACGGCACGCATGTCCCAAGGCAACCCCCGCACAGCCAATCGGGTATAAGCAAAGTCCGCTTCGTCTGCATGTAGGCTATTACGTAGCACCATGTTCGCCACAAAAGCACGCGACTCTCACCACGATTTTACCTCCAGCAACTAAGTCCACTTTGATTGGTCACATTCTGAGCACATCGGCCAAACTTCAACATGGCGTCATGCCTCATTTCTAAGCAGAGGACCATACATAAACCCCATTAATTCAATTGTTTCTACCTTTCCGTTTGTATCACAGCTGAACCATCCCTATGAGCATTGCTAGGAGACTTGCACCCTGTATCAGAACGACACGAACCAGCAACATCCATCTAGGAAACCACGCGCGCAATCGCTTATTCCACTCTGAAGCCCAATCAATCAGCATGACCACGGCAAGCTTCTCCCACATTGATACCGACTCTTATTCTGGGAAACCATGGGCCAAGGTTGACGGACCCGGCACCAGCTTCTCGCACAAGTGGCACGAACGATCCGTCCACAACCTTCGCGGCCGCGAACATGAGTTCAACACCGATAACTCAGGCTTCGCAGTATACCAGTACCCCGCAAAGGAAAAGCTATTCACCGAGGATGCGGCAGTACGAGAGGGCTATTACGCTGAAGTCGAAGCTTTACTGCGTGACAAGCTTCCTGGCGTGAAGAAAGTCGTCATCTTCGACCACACAATACGAAGACGAGACAAGAATTCTCCTCGACAGCCTGTCCAACAAGTCCATGTAGATCAGACGGAAGCTGCAGCAGAAGCACGTGTTCGTCGTCATCTTTCTCCAGAAGAAGCCGAGCGATTAATCAAGGGCCGCTGGCAATTGATCAACGTATGGAGACCCATCGAGAACCCTGCTTCAGACCATCCTCTCGCGGTAATTGACTGGAGAACAACATCATCATCCGACTTTGTTGCTACAAACCTTCTTTACCCTAAGCGCGCTGACTCCATGGACGTCGACGACCGGGGTAAAGAGGTTCTTCCAGATCCCAACAACTACACGTCCACCGACGGCTATGAGGTCAAGGGTGAGACCATGTCTGTGGCACCTAACGACAACCACAAGTTCTATTATCAAAAGGACATGACGCCCGAGGAAGTTCTGTTGCTCAAGTGTTACGATAGCTTTGGAGAAGGTATGGCCCTAGGCAAGAAGGGCGTGGCTGTAAGAACACCGCACACTGCTTTTGCGGATCCGAACACGCCCGCGGATGCACCAGGGCGGCAGAGTATAGAAGTTAGATGCTTGGTGTTCTATGAGTAGACGTAATGGCTCAGGAACGAATGTGATGGCTTCGATCATTACTTGATAATATGTATCAATGACTCCATCTATATGGTCTAGTGAGGCTGTGAGTCGACAGCCACAACCCAAATTAAGCGTTGGTATCATAAGATCAAAAACAGGACAGGGACAGTCTATCAAGTGGATAGCAGTGACTACACATATCTAAGCCTTAGTGTGGGCTTCGATGCGTGCTTCTGTAGATTCCAGCTCAAACGAGTCGGTATCCTGAGGCCTCCAAAACTTTTTGTCGCCCTTCATTGCACGGATGAACCAAGGTTGGGCGCGTGGCGAGTCTGAACGGACTAGAGTAAACCCTCGTTAGCATCATATGCGGAAGACAGCGGCATGTGGAAAGACTTACAGCTCCAGTACTCCTTGTTGTCGTAGTCTGGCGGAAGCAGGCGTCCCCCTGAGATGGCACCGAGAGCCCACGTGAAGGTGTTTATGATGGCGAAGCACATAATTCCAGCGATAAGTCCATATGCGATCGAGTATGAAAAGGGCATGAACATCAGCGTGACGAAGGCTGGGATGGAATCACCAGGATAATTCCAGTTGATGGCTAGAACACCACGCATCATCATGCATCCGACTAAGATGAGGGCTCCTCCTGTCGCCCAGGGTGGAATGGAAGCGAAAATGGGCGCGAAGAAGAGCGAGATGAAGAAGCAGATACCGGTGGTGATCGCGGTCAGACCTGTGCGACCGCCTTCTTGGATACCAGCCTATAAAAGTCAGTATGGTGGCACAAAACATGTCAAGATACAGCACTTACACCAGACTCAACGAAAGCGGTAACAGGCGATGATCCAAACAGGGAGCCGATGGAGATGGCGATAGCATCAGCCGAGTAAGCAATTGTACTCCTAGGGAAGTCACCCGTGTCAGGGTCGACAACGCCTGAGAAACGAGCCATGGAGTACAACGTGCCGGTGGCATCCAGGATATCAACGTAAAGCATGGTGAAGACAGCCAGAGCGAATTGCCCGCCCACGTTAGACAGATCCCAGTCTTGTGCCAATAGCGTATGCTTGATCGGATGGAAAGCGACAACGTTCTTGAAGAACTCGAAGCGGCTGTCGCCAACTGTCGTGCGTGGGAAGTAGGTGATTGAAGTATCCCGGGGCCAACAAAAGATGGATACTAGCGCAATACCAAAGATCATTGAGCCACGAATCTTATAAGTCATGAGCAGAGCTGTAAAGACACCACCCACAAGAAAGCCGAGCCACATGGCTGAATTTGGGTGTACGAAGTCAGTATGTGCCTCATGTGTAGTTCATACAGGAGCACTTACTTGGGTTGGTTGCTTTATGCGAGAGACAGGAGCCAGTGTCCGGGTCGAGGTATTCAGGAGAGCAACCTCCAAGATCAAGGGGTGTTGCCTTGGCTCCCGTAATAGCACCAATACCAGCCGAGTATGAAAGTCCGATCAAAGTGAGGAAGAGGCCAATACCTGCACCACACGCGACTTTGATACTGGCAGGAATGATTCGAGCCAGCCATTGACGGATGCCAGCGAGGGAGAGAGCGACGAAGATGAAGCCTTCAACGAACACAGCAGTCATTGCGACGCGGTAGTCGATTGGACCGGTGCCGTGGAACCCTACAATCTGATATGCCAGGTACGCATTCAGGCCCATGGCTGGTGCGAGTGCGACAGGGAGGTTCGCAAGAACGCCCATAAGGAATGAGCCGAGCGCCGCAATCGCGGCAGTAGCAGTCACGAAATCACGGTTGATCTCGAGCAAACAGAGAGAGTAGGCTTCGTCGTTGAGACATGTTGGGTCGACAGGGTCATTGCAAACACATGTAGCACCAGAGTCTGTGAGGACGGAGGCCTGGAAGTGGTAGTATCGTTAGTACGGTTGTACCATATGCTTGTAATTTGACATGTATCTGGATTTACTCACGTTGACAGCAATGATGTATGCCATAGTGAAGAAGGTTGTCAGGCCAGCGCGTAGCTCAGTGGTGAACCTCGCATTTTTGATCTCGTTGGGCTTCGATAGTCAGTGTTATGTCTTGCATTCAAAGTCTTAGGGACGACGTACATGTCCTGACCCGTCAAGATGGAAGTACCTGCCCACAAAGGAAGCAGAAACCACATCGTTGAGAGCAGCCTTGTTCCTTTCGATGAAGCCCATGATGTTTCCAGAAACCAAAAGCGAAAAAACTGAGATGGTATAGCAACACTGGACCACTAATCCACAGGTAACAACGGAGATGGATCTCCAGATATATTTGCCATGCCCAAGCAACAATATGCGGAGGCTACACCTAGTGCAGGGGGGTGGAGCGTAGCAGGTGTGCTCGCGTCATGCAGGTGCCCGTAACCATCCCGTATGGAGTTCGTGGTAAGCCACATAAGGCATCCTCCGCGATCGGAGATGGAGACAGATTGAGCGGATGTGGGAGACACTATGCGCGGAAAAGTCTGCCGTTCCGTTAAGGCAAGTCGAACGGCTAGGTGTAGCTGTTTCAACCTGTCGTCCTTCGGTGGGATATGACCGCGTATGCGCCAATTGAGAACCGTCTGTCTTGGACATTTCACCAGCACTAACACGGTTGTCGGATTCGGGATGTGGGCTGCATCGAACGATCCACTACCAATAGCTAAGTAACCTCTACCAAGCCACAAAGCGAAGGCGAGTCACGCAATCCGTAGTATGGTGAAAACGTGCCGTGCCGTATAGTCTATCTGCTTTGAACCAGCTTCGACTCTTCAACTACCCAGCGAGAATAATATCATGGCTGCTGGAATTCGACGTGTGTCGGCTTCCTTCGCGAAAGAGTCTAGTCGTTACGAAACCCAGTTCTGTATTTTCCGGGGTCCAGGGTCGATGATGCATCGGTGAAGGCTACAACAGGAGCCAGGTACGAAAGGTACCTGATTGTCGGGTCTTCCGAGAAGTTCTAACGAGTCGCATAATGTCCCAACGATGGCTTGGAGCCGCGATCTCTGTTCGCGCCAATGGCTGATTTGCCGCTCTCCGGGACTTTCATGAAGGGGGAAGGTAAGCGGTTGTCTAGCAGGCGCTAAAAGTGGCTGGTGGCGCACATGTGATTAACTGGCCTTCGTGGGTCGTGCGTATCGTGTTGCAGGTTATCGGTAGTGACATTCTTGCGTGATGGCGTTGCAGTGATGTGCAGAATGCGCGGAGCTCTCGGTGTTGTTTTCTTCTGGTGCCCCTCTGGTTCGTTGTTTGTTTTCCGAGTGAGTGGGTTGGGAAGGTCACTTTCGTCGATCATCATCTGCGCTGTTATCGATGGGGACATTTCGCTTAACTCGGCGCTATGTCGGCTGGAACCGGGCGTCCCTGGTCTGTCAGGCGTCCAACCACAATTGACTTACGGTACCCAACACTGAGCTACTATAATCCGACTAGACACACTAGCCGGCCCAGTTGGCGAGATTGAGAGTCGTTCCCGTGTGCGAGCTGGCCTAAAGTGTGGTACGTGTTGCAACATGGCGGGAAAGATGAGGTATTATCGAGCGAAGATCCCCCCGCCTGGAGGCAACATTAGTTCTGTATTGAAGTCGTCGACATGTTTCCAACCTTTGATGTCCCTCCTCAACACGCGGAGACAGTAGGCGCCCGCAAGGCAAGAAAGGCTAGGGAAGATGACACTTCCAGAAGGTCGTTCTCCGCAACTTCGCAATCTTCAGGGAGCACGCACAGCAGCAAACGTCAAGATCCCCCAGGTCTATCAGACTCAAGATCTGGAGGGAAGACCGGCTTTGGCGGATGGTTTAGCAAGAGCAGTAAGAAGGGCATCCAGGAGATCGCGCCACTGTCAACACACAAGGAGACGCAGCGTCAAAAGGAGCCAGCACTTGAGCCAGAGTTAGAACTAGAGCTCGATCAAGGACCAGCACCACCGACGGCTCCCTTGGAAACACAGCAGCAAGCACCCGGAAGACCACCGTCACAACGTTCTGAGCAGGCGTCTCGAACTCTCCGTCCACATCATTTTCTGCCACCGCTGCCAACTCCTCCCCCTTCTATTGGGCTTCCACCAACACCCGTCTCCATGAATATGTCTTCAGGAATGCTAAGCCCTGTTAGTATATCAGGTACGTATAATATCCAAATCTACAGACGGCACGGTTGGAGTAGTCGTCAAAGCTCTGAATAGCTCAGTTGAGCACGGAGCGAGAATGATATTGCACAGGTAGCATGCTTACATGTGGTATAGACAGGAAGTCACAATACTCTACGATTTCCCGTGCCTCGTCCAACCAATCCAGCGTTACTCATTCCAACAACAGTGTCTTCTCCGGTGCTTCAGGTTACGAGACTACCCTCTCAGAAGATGCTTACGATGAGCCGCGCTCTGCCAGGGCTCCGTTCAGATCTCAACCGGTGTCACACACCCCATATTTTGAACCAGTCGAGCGCGGTTCGCGGACCGGCAGCAGACAGAGTAACGAACGTGATCAAAGCGTCAAGGTCTCTCAAACGCCCTTTACCCGTGCGTTAGCCAAGATGGAGAGTGCTGGTACTCGCATCATGTCTGCACGCTTGAGTGAGGAATGGGATGGTTTGGACGACGACGAAAGTTACCAAGAGATCATGTTCGAGAAGCGGTTGTGGGCACTGACCGCCTACCAGCGCCTAACACAGAATAAACCTCTACAGTCACCCGCTCATGAATTACTCAGCAATAGTCGGCCAGCAGATCAGAGGAGAGTTCTTCAAATACATGGCTCCTTAGGTTCGTTCAAGTTCATGCTCCAACTGATCTGAGGAGGCTTTAATGCTAACTATTGCAGCGGACGGATGGATGCTCGCAAACCGGTACCCTTCGGTAACAGTATATACACTATCCTCCACGAAAAGCCACCCCGCTACGACGTATCCTGCTCCTTTAAACCACCATTCGTTGTATACCCCTTCCCTTGCGTCTTCAGCGCCCTTCCCTGATAACTATTTCGATGCCGTTATCTCGCGCACAGCCGCGACCGTTCTTCGAAACGATGATTGGGCGCGATCATTCTTTGACTGTATGCGTGTGCTCAAGCCAGGAGGACAACTCGAGATGCTTTCAGTAGATGCGCACATGAGCTGCGAGGGACCCAAGCTATCTTCATGGGTTGACGAACATATATCTTGCAAATTAGAGGCTCATGGTGTGAGCAAGGAAGCGTCGGACACCGTTCTCGACACGATGGAGATAGTGGGGCTCGAGAACATTCGTCGCGCTCGTATCGCATTGCCTGCACACCCGCCTAAAGCAGTGGCAAAGGTAGCACCGTCCGCATCACATACCTTTGGTGCTACGATACCACCTCCTTCGCCACAGGACACCTTAGACACTACCAAGATGATGGCTTTTCTCGGCCGCCACTTCTATCAAGATCTCTACAGCAGGTTCATGAACATGGATCGGGGTGAAGAGTGGTTCTGGTCACACAAAGATCTTCGGGATGAGATCGATCGATACAAGACAAAGATTGTACTTACCATTTCTATTGCGCAAAAGCCTGACAGCATGTGCAACGGGCAAAGTTATTTGGAAGATTAGACAATTCACTGAAGCATAGCGACGTCATGTTGCATCAAACACATTATCCTCTTTTGGTATGGTCATTGACATTACTCAGAATGGCAGTCACTAAAACTGAGAGTGTTGTGAGAGTCAAGCCATTACTCAGCGACATTGTCTGTCGTGGATCTTCACTCATACCGTTTCAAAGCTCTGATCTACCAATGACTATCAAGCGGAGTTGATGGATACCAGTTGACGAACAGCGCAGAATAAGCTAGCTAGCATCAGAACATCTCTGCTTGCACTTGCTGTGGTTCTTGTTTCTTCCTTCCTTCCTACGGTTCCGCTTGCGGGACCCACTTTTGCCAGAGCGCAAACACCCTCACCTCTACACCTTTTGTAATCCTTCCTCTTCCTAGTCGCACTAGCGACGATCCTCAAGCCAAGTTGACCTACCAGCGGTCCTACTCGTTATACGCATCTCAACGGTCACAAATACCATTAGATATCCTACAATGGCTGCTTCCCAAATCGGTCACGGCCAGATCGGCAAGATCATAGAGGGTACGTGTAATAACTCAAGCTCGCAGGTGATATAGAAACTGACATTATGTAGATATGGAAGAACTCCTACCTTCTGTATCCATCGATAGGGCAGATTATCGAGCCTGTCGCACAACCTATGGCTGTCTGTCCAGCACCTACAAGCGTTCCAATGACTCCAACACTCCAGAGAAGGAATACAAGGAGTTACAAGCGCTTGAAAAGACTCTGCGTCACCGTCTCTCCAGTCTCGATGCTGACAGAGGTCTTCCGCGCAAATTCAAGGGTCTACTCGACGATCTCAAATCAGGTGTCGACGGTGCACTCGACCGCGGTGTATCCACCGACTTTCTAACTCAAGGTCTGAAAGACTCGTTGGAAGATAAGCCAGACGCTACACCTGCACCGAAGCCCGTGCCACCGAAGATGGTATCAGAGAAGCGGTTCAAAACAGTGTTGGACGAACTTCGCAACGAGAAAGAGAAGAACCGGAAGCCCAATGAAGAAAACAATCGCATGGCTTTAGAACTCAAACAGTACCAGATGCGCGAGAGGTTGGGTGAGCCGCCTCTGAAAAAACGATGCATCGGTTAGATTACTGACGAATCAGCCCAAACTGGTAGACGACCTGGCGCAGGCTTCTATTAAGACTACAAAGATACCGACTGTTCTACCTATTTTGACGTCAACTGCATCGTTCACGCCGTCTGTTCTGCTGTCCATCAGAAGCGAACCCAGGTCGAAAGAGGTTATCAATAAGAAGACAAAGAACAGGGAAGGAAGTCGATTTTTGGATCCCAAAGGTACTGATCCTTTTATCGCCGGATGAAAGAAGACTAACATTGATCAGGGGTGTCGTAACATCAAGTAGAAGGCGGATGGAAAGACTTTAGATCCGAAGCCTAGCAGTGCGCCAGGCGGAGAATGCACTCTGGAAGCACGCAGACTATGATGGATATTTTGTGCGCGGTCAAGCATTCTAGCGCAGCCTTTGTGACTGTCTCACATTATTTGAATAGTAACGACTTAAATCTTGATTTACTCCAATGAATGTCACCGTACAACGTACTTTGCTAAGAGAGATTGTGGGCTTCATTGAACCCATCACCATATTTACATCGTGCTGCATGACTCTCAATGTGTCTTCGAAAAACCGCAACATCACCATCAACCTTTTGCAATCAACCTATGACATACGAATTTCGCGAAGAATCTCACCCAGATAGCGTCGATTTTGCTTTCCACTCAACGCATCGCGTCCTATGCGATTCTCGGTGGGAAGTCAGGCGAGGTCGTATCTTTCCTATGGTCTCTACGAAGTTCAAGTGCAATGCGATCGAATTATATACGTCCATTTCACAAACTGCGCTTCCGGGCAGTCGCATGGCCAACAGGGCTGAGCAGCATGGATCGCAACACGCCCTAATTGAGCTAGATTCGAGCCTGGGACCAGAAATCAAAACGTACACGCAACCAGCAGGACCTCTCAATCCACGCGTCCAGTCTGAAGCCTGCTTTGAGCAAAGAGCAACAACAGGTCGTCAATCTTATCGTAGCTGGCCACAATGTTTTCTACACGGGTTCTATGGGTTCCGGGGAAGTTACCCATTCTGCGGGCTTTTGTCAAAAAGCTGCGAGAAGACAACAAAAGAGTGTTATTTGGCCGCCAATGAACCTCGATGCTTTGAACTGCAATGAGATTACGTTCTGCTATGGTACAAGTTTCTATGTCTTCGTGCACGTGGTTGACGCCTCGCCATATCTTACGCTGGCTAGATAGTGCCCGACGTAAAGGAGAACCTAGACGCGCTAAGAAAAGATGCTTATGCGAAACAAATTTGGAATCGGATGGATAATATGGATATCTTCATGGAGAATTAGCATATACGAAAACAATTCCTTTGCTCGGTTAAATAGAGTGAAGGAAGAGGCAAGGAAGTCAGAAGTTAAGATGTGTTCTAGAGCTCGCTTAGGCATGTACTTACTGCAATGACTAGGGAAAAGCCTGGGTGTCGTGTTTGAGTCCGTATTTCGATGGTAGAGAGAATTTGTTCTTTTTTCTTATGGGCCCCGTGGTTGATTAATTCAGGCGTAGTAAGAAACTAGAATGGCATAGAGAAAACGCATCGGTCAAAATAATGCGAAGGTCACATAATCACCGAAGATAAAAGGACAATAGAAGTATTGAAGGAAGGGGTATATAAACATTCAAGGTCACCTTTCTAGGAGGCGAACATTACGTATCAATCTACGATGAATAACATCATCAATTGATGACCAACTCAAAAACATTTGGTAAGTGCAACAAACCACGTACTAAACATATAGGAATATATGCTTAGAAGATGCGGTTGAAGAAACGCTTCCACGCAGGCCAGGTGGCGATCTCGGCGCGCTCCCTGTTAATGAGGTCCCAGTCGAGTTCACGACGGCCAGTGTCAACGTCCATCTGAGCGGTGCGGAGCCATCCCTCACGCTTCCAGAAGTATCCAGCAATCCAGAAAGCAGCAACGACGAAGACAGCGAGGTAAGCTGAAAAGAAATCGGTCGCGGTACCAAGCCTCTTGCCAATGGGCGACACGGCAGTGTAGAACTAAACCCATTGTTAGCATAATTGTTTACATGAACGTTCAAGGGAAAGAATCTTACCTGAGCAATGAGGACAACAATAATGATGCCAATGCCAATCCAGGAGCCAACAACACCACCAGCAGCCTTGAATGGGATCTCATCCAAGGTGTGTCCGTGGTAAGCCCAGGCCTTGCGGAAGCGGATATGGGCGAGGCAGATGGAGCCCCAGGTGAAGAGAGCAGCAAGACCGGACAGAGCAACGAACCAGTTGAAGACAGTCTCACCAGTAGACGCCAAGTTCATGTAGGCAAGAGGACCCCACATGAGAATGAAGGCAACAGAGTACAGAGGGCGTCCGGCACGGTCGATGTAGGTGAAGCACTTGGGAGCGTAACCCTGGTTGGCAAGAGCAGTGAGGGTTCGAGAACCACCGTATACACCAGAGACACCGATGGAGATGACGGAGATGAGAATGACAACGTTCATGAAACTGTCAAATCCAATCAATCCAGCGTTCTTGCCAGCAATGACGAAGGGGGAGGTGTTGGCATCGGAAGAGGAGCCCATCAGACGATTGTCGTTGGAGGGAACAAGAAGTCCGACAAAGGTGAGACCGAGGATGTAGAACAAGGTGATTCGCCAAAAGACCTGACGGATAGCACCAGGAAGGGACTTCAGAGGGTTCTTAGTCTCAGCGGCAGCGAGACCAACAAGTTCGGTACCCGAGAAGGAGAAAGCGGCGGTGACGAATACAGTGCAGAAACCCTTGAAGCCGTTTTGGAAAGCGCCCGGGTTGTACCAAGTACGAGCTCCCCAGTATTCAGAGTACATGCCATTGCTGGGACCTCCTCCGAGGACCAAGATCAAGGCAATGATCATGAAGACGATGGTGGCACCCAGCTTGATACAAGACGACCAGAACTCTTCTTCGGCATATCCCAGGGTGCCCCAGATGTTGATTAAAACAATGAAGACCCAGAATATCGTGATGAAGACTGCGACGTTTGTTTCTTGAGCGCCCGGCCAATAATGGATTGTTAGACCGGCGACGAGAAGCTCAAGAGGTAAGACAATAGCCCATTGGAAGACGTAGTTCCAGCCCATGGCGAAACCCCAGGAAGGATCAATGAAGCGAGTGGAGTAGGTATAGAAACCACCGGAGACGGGGTACATAACAGCGAGTTCACCAAGAGCGTAGACTACGGAGAGTCAATACTGTTTGAGTATACAGAGGCGTGAAGCGATTACTTACCGACGTTGAAGATCATGACACCCATGATTGAGAAATCAATCAGGACTGAGGCAGGACCCTGTAGAAGCTGTGAGTTGATATTCAAAGATATTGGAGACATGTACAACTTACACCTTTGGCCAGAGCACCACCGGAACCAACGAAGAAACCAGCACCGATAGAACCACCGATGGCAATCATGTGAAGATGGCGCGTCTTCATGGACTTGTCGAGCTCGATCAAACCGCCCTCATGGGGACGACGCTGGAAGGACTTCATGTTCAGACCGTTGCGGGTCATGAAGTCCTCACCGTCACGCCAGTCAGCAACATCTTCGCTCTGACTCTCAATGGTTGGGTGAGGGACGCTGGTCTTCTCATCAGGCGGGAGAGCCTTCTCGTGGTCCATGATGGGCGGTTGGACAGGTCAGTGCTGGGGATGGGAAAGACTGGTGAAGACGAGAGAGACCCTGGGAGCGGCTGCTCTTATGGAGATATGGATCAGCGGGAGGGGGAGGCAATTGACATTTATCCAGTCCAGGTTGGAGATGGTCCTCACGGAACAGGCGACAGGGACCCTCGTCGATTGATGCACAAGGCGCACGAGCCGGGAGCTTGGCACCGCTCTTGGCATCCCTCCATTACAGTGAAGGGCCAGGCGGACGACTGATAGGCTGGCGTCGTGTTTGGTTGGCTGGTTGCACACGACCAGGACAAGCGTTGGCCGCAAGCGGATAGTGCTAACAGGGACGGTGAATTGGCGCCCCGCGGTGGGTCTTGGGATTAGCTTGGGACCTCCCCGCTACAGCAAATCGGCCGGTGGCGTATAGGGCTTGGCGCGAGCTTCGAGGGGGCCCTTGGTGTCGTTTGGTCAGACCGGGTCGCTGGGCGGAGATTGGGCCCAAAGAGGACTGATAACGAGTGTGCGAGTGAAGGCGAGGTACGAGTTTAGCAACGTTCTAGCACATTTTCTAGAACGCTGATTGCAGCGCTGGGCTCCCTTGGCGACCGCGGTTTTCTTCGGATCCAACGCCGCTTTCCTTGCCAGCTGCCTCTATTGGCGAATCGAGGTTGGTGAAGCGCGACCGTCTTATCTGCAGTCGGATGGCCGCGCTTACTTGGTGCAGTCTGGAGAAGCCCCTCACGTGCCCCACGTTCATGTGTACCTGCCTGTCCAGGCCTAGCCCCTCCGCTTCCGTCATCTCCGCTTCGGCTAGCCCGCGACGCGATGCCTCTCCAACAATACTGTTTGTCAACCACTCCATCGGTGGCGCTGCGAGGCGCTGCCGTCCTGCCATCGCGAATACCGCGAATAGGCATGGCCAAGCGCTCGTGATTGCGGCGTGTGCTGTGTCATGGGGCGTAATGAGTACGGCACCATTGCGTTACATTGCCCATCTAAGTGCGCATCCTAGCACGACAATCCCTCGTTCGTTTCAGTTGCCTCGATGATTAGGCCCTTTTGCGCTCCACCAGCCCCCTTCGAGAACAACGTTATCAACGCGTGGGGGACGAGCTTGCTGAATCCTTTGCTTAAGAGGTGCGATGTCGCGCCTGTTTGACACTTGGTTGCGAACGTACCATCCAACGGCAACGGCTCCCAGATCCACCGTGCTGATGCCCGAGAAAAACCACAATTTTTGCCCCAGGAATCGCAGCCAATTACGAGCCCCCCGCTCGCTTGCTTCCCCAATGGCCTTAGCTCATATCTTGCCAATTTTGCTTGGAATTTCTTGAATGTCTTGGAACGTCCCATATCGGACCAGTCGACAGGCCTGTCACAACACCATGATCCGTCAGCCTGGCGACTGTATACAGGCCCGCAGGACGAAGGGTCCACCAGAATCCTTTATCTCAATATTGTCAAATTCGAATTGCCAACGCTCGCTTGTCTGCTATTAGCGCTGCTCCACTGATAAACACCTGTCTGAGCGTCGTATGTTGGGGTGCTTCGATCCGCGTCTGGGACCCCCCTAGGATCCACTGTCATCCACCGGCATCCACTTGAACCTGGATTCCAGATAACCTCGTTCCTCACCACGGCCACGGAGAGTGACGTTCCTCCCCTGGTAATTCGTCACCGGCGGCAAATGTCACAACGATATAACCCGTAGTTGCAGCATAAACCAGCTTGCTGCGTTCTGACCACAGTGTGCCTTGCGCTAGAATTTCTGACCGACTTTCACGCCGCATAAGCGGCCGTGGCCCCCAGTACGACATGCCGCTCGCACCGAGTTGGCGGTTTTTCCAAACAATACCGCCGAGAGTCAGGCCTGTATGCGCATGTACACGCCTTTATCACCATGGACCCTGAATCTTGCGCAAATCGATTTTGTCGCAATGAACGTGTTCAACAATGCTCAGCAATCGCGAAGATGGTTCTTCATACTAATGACTCGGGGCCAGTAGCCTATCAAGTTTCCCTTACAGTCACCAACCACAAACTCGTTCAACGGAATGACGAGTTTGTACGTCATTTACACTAAAGTTATCGCGATTCTATTCCTCAAGATTTCTCCTCCAAACTGGGTTGCGCATCGAAGAAACGTGACATCTTCCGGGATTCTTACGTCGATCAACTTCCGAGAGTGCCGTGGATCCAACACACACTCTTCGCTAGCACAACGACATCATGTTGCCACTATCTACCATAGTTCTCTACATGTGCGCCAATGATCACTTGACGTATACGTCACTCGAACTCTGGAAGTTTTCAGTCTACTTTGAAATCCGTACTGAATTAGAGCTCAATAACTACCGCGAGGCCCTCGAACATGGGACGTTATTTTCTGGAAATCCATACAGTTTAGAAAACGCTTTACACAACACAACTACCTTTTTGGCAAAGACGAGTCTCGAAAGACTATGCCTTGAAGCCTAGATATCCTCACGCGGCCTCCAAATAGTACTATTTCCTTCTCCTCCATGGCTAACCGGCTGTCTCTCCCGCCAACCAGCCGTCCCCAGATGCCTTTTATCTTCCATCGATCTCCCTCTCCTTTCTTTTTATCATTTGAACGGTCATCCATCTCCTTCTGTCTCTTGAGGAACAGTGACTGGTAGAACTCCAACCTCATTGTCTCCCGTATTCTCACCATACTACCAACGCTACCCTTCCTTTCCGCGATATCCCTGACAACATCGTACACGGACACCTTCCTCTTTCGTTCCGGAAAAGGAGGCGGCGTCCGCGGGAACAGAAAGCTCGGGGTTAGGAATGGAGAGGTTACTGGAAGAGGCGAGGCTGGTAACAGGAACGTCGTTCTGGTTGGTGTGGGCGTAGGTGTACGGAGAAATGTCAGTGCCCTCGGTGAAAGCGGACTGTCAAATATGGATAGTGGAGACGCAGGAAGAAGGGGTGTCGCCCTAGGGAGTAAGTACAGGTAGTTGGTTGAGGACATCTGGTGGTGGAGCGAGATACGGATTCATTGGTGAGTCTGACGAGTCTCGTGAGCAGGTAGATGCGAGTGGTGACGGCGTATCGGGGTCCCAGTAGGATAAGGCTGGCACGGGGGGAGCTTTATGATCGAAGTTGATTGACGTATACATCGACGGGTAGGTCGCACGTCGCGGCGTAGGTGGACGGGGGGCGCGCCATAGAGTTGTTGATGTGGGAGGTATGATGAGGGAGGTTGGTCGGGGGCGGACCGACGGCATAAGCAATAATTGATTGAAGGCAGTTGATAATAGGTTGATATAGAACAACGGCAGGGTTAGAATATTGTTGCTCTCTCCACGAGCAGCTCAATTATAGTGCCGTCCTCTTGATATACCTTCCAAGAATCCCACGCAGCATGCGTGGTTTGGCCATTGGACAGAGACATGCTGATGGTCCATACCCGAAGACCGAGACTTGAGGTGCGCATCCACGACGATAGCCTGATTGTCTTGCAGACATGTGATATTCTTGGATTCAGAGTCTACGCCAAGTTCACAAGAAAGCTTCTGCACCGCGGACGCGCCAAGCCCAAGCCCGAGTGTAGGTTCGACAATTGGCAGTCGCCGAGACACAGTCTATAGGAAAACTGCAGCATTATGGTTTTGTCTCGCCATGACAGTGGGCGGCAACAGCACGTACAAAGTCTAAGTCAAGTTCTCCAAGACATGGGTTGTGCGCCGCTCGCAAGGTTTCTATGGAGAAGACGGCGGAACGGATGAGTCAGCAGCATCCGAGCAAGAAGAAGAAATGACGTCTCGTCAACGTTAAGCGCAGACGCGAAATCCTCCGAATCGTGAGCTTGACTAGTTGTTGGCATCCTCGCAATACTCAATCAGCAGCGTCATTGCCATCGGCGACTAGAGTGCACAACGCTTCTCCGCAATCGCCAAGGCGCGCAATCTGCAGCTACTGACATCCAACGGGAAGGTTGGCAAACACCTCAGCGACCTCAGCGACGCAGCCCCACCGTCGTCCGAGACACATCCAAGATGCTCACACGAAGTGCACTGTGCCCAGCGAGGGCCTTTGCCAGCCGATTCTCGCCTGCCATCCTCGCTCCCTCGTCAACTGCCGCCGCGACTTCCTTCTCCACATGCACACGACCAAGCAGGCTCCGGCAACAACAACAGCGCAGCAGCCCGATTCCTACCTCACGCACCACGTTCCCCAGCAGGCCGATAGCACGACATGCATCAACTGCCCCCGCACAGCCCGTCGCCAACAACTCGCCCGGCGCACAACCCCAACTTACATGGAACGCCTTCTTCGCCCTACGCCGCACGCGCCGGAGAATCGGCCAGGCTTGCTCTGGAGTCGGCGCAGTAGGCGTGACATACTTTGGTCTCACCACCATGATCAACAATGGCTACGATGCCACCCTTTCCGCCCAACTCGGTGGTTTTGACCCCTTCATGCTCATGGGACTGAGCACCTTGGGTATGATGGCCGTGGGATGGCTTATTGGGCCCATTTTTGGTAACCAGGTCTTCAATCTGGCTTACAGGGGTGTACTTGGCGAATTCACACGGGTAAGTTGAAATGCTGTTTGTTTGGCAAGAGTTGGAGATCGAATACTCATCTCCTGTCTAGAAAGATTCCGCCTTCTTCAACCGCATCAAGCGCCACCGCGTCGATCCTACCGCGTCCTCGCTGGCCAACCCGCCACCGGATTACTACGGCGAGAAGATTGGTAGCGTTGCTGGATACAGGCGGTGGTTGAAGGACCAGCGTGCCTTCAACCTCAAGACGGGAAGGTACCGCGCAACCAAGGCTTTGTAGGAAGGACCTGGGCATCTTGTTAATCGGATACAAGACTCCAAGTATCAAATCAGAAGCTCGTCTGATGTAAGATTGCATGAGTTGTAGGGAGAAGCATAGTGTGAATCAGGGATGAACTTTGACTTCAGGATTATATGGGCGGTAGGGTCTGGAGGCGCACGAGTGAGTACTGCTTACGTACTCCTCTGTTTTTCACAAGTGTCAAAATATCTGGGCGACGATCCTAGCTTCGTACATTCGCATCTCAACCCACGCCGTGTTTCCAATTGTTCTTGAAGAGAAACGAACGACAAAACATACATGTATTTATATGTACATCTCTGATATTTGGATGAATCACATCTCCATCTTGCGAGTTCACACTATATCCTCGCCCTCCTCTCCACCCTCTCCAACACACCCACAACCCCATCTCTAACCTCTCTAATCACATCACCAACTGGCATAACCTTCCGAACCAACCCCACCCCACTCCCAGCATACGCCGTCATTCTCCCTCCATCCTGCCTCCACCCCTCATCCCCCCTTTCCATCTCCTCTTTGTACAGCCTTGTATTCTCCTCTTGACTCATCCCCTTCTCTACTGCATCCACATAGCTCTGCGTAATGATCCCGCGCGCATTGTGTGTCTCAGCCCAATTTGTGCCACGTAGCGAGTCGTAAACTTTGGTACGAACAGTGCTTTGGCCGCCGTCGGTGGTGCGTAGGACAGCAGAGCGGTAGCCCTGGGTTATGTTGGCTTCAGGCGTGGCAAGTAGACGCGTTCCTAAGATGCAACCTGAGGCGCCGAGGGTCAGGGCGGCGGCGAAGGTGCGGGAGTCGGAAATTCCTCCTGCGGCTATAAGGATTGGTTTTTGCCGAGTTTGGGTTTTCTGGAAATATTCTTCCAATGTGTCCTTGACTTCTGGTAACAGCGTTACGATACTTGCCCCTTTTACTAAGCCATGGCCTCCTGCATCTGTTCCTTGCACAACGAGGACGTCTGGTTGCACTTGTTTGACTACTTCGACAGCTTCTGTCACACTACCTACTTGGACCCAGATCTTCGTTTCTGGGGAAGCAGTTCTACTCTTTTCTGTCCATTGCACGAGCGAGATTATGGAGGAAGGAGCGAAGAACCAAACTGCTGCAGGTCGGTGTCGGGCGATAATGGGGATAGCCATCTCGAGGTTCGCTCCCCAGTTGATAAATCCGATACCGATTGGTAAGGTGCCATGCCGTGTTTGTAACGTGGTGCTTTTGAGTAGTTCCTGTGCGTGGCGGACGTGGGATTCTAGGTCTGAGACATCTGTTCCTGCGCCTATGAACCCAATTCCGCCTGTGCGAATTCGTTAGTAAGTCAACGAATTAGTTATGTGGATTGAAAGGTGATACAGATTTAGCTCTTTTCTCCCATGACTTACCGGCTTTCGACACTTCAACAGCCATGTCCGCTAGAGCGATCAGTCGCATTGGTGCACTCACCACCAGCGGCGTTTGAACCCATGGGTAATCTCCAGCTAGTCTCTGAATATCGTCCATCTCTTCTTGTTCTTCTGTTCTTCCTTTGACGGAACTCGACTAAATAAGTGTTTATATATACTTCGTGTTACACTGCACAGAATTGCGACTTCCAGTAACCTTAGCAGAATCCCAAACTCACAGCTCCTCGCTTGTCTGTTCAATTGCTCACGTAAATGATGCAATGGATTGGTCGGTACGAAAAGGCAATTGCGGGAATCGATGCTTTATAGCGAGACTGACAATACACGTATAAAGGTAATGGTCGAATGATGATGCGTGTGCCCCAGGTTCCGCTAGACCAACCGCAAGGTTTCGACATCTCCTCGGCTATACCAACATGGAACTAATCCGGCCTTACTCGGCATTCAACTCGAATAACATATTACATGTTTAAGCGCACACGAAACTATTATGTTGTCTTCATTACATCTTATCCTCAAATGCCCTAAGGTATTAACTAAGATACTAATCCCAAAGTCTATGTTCACATGAACAGAACCAAAATCTCATGCCTGAAAAGCCCCAATATCTACATCCACCCATCATTAAGACCCGAAATGCGTCGTAAAAAGTGGAAAGAAGAGAAGTCATTACAGCTTCTACTGTCTCCTCTCCCACTCCACAATACCAGGAGCCAATGGCCTGGAGAACAAACTCGAGTAGTCGGTGCCAACAATGTCCTTGCTGCCACCTACATTCCTCAGCTTGAACTCGCGCACGAATGCTACGAGGATGGTTTGCAGTTGAAGGTAAGCAAACTGCTCACCAATGCAACGATGCCTTCCAGCGCCAAAAGGCAGGTAGGGAGAGTTTGTTCCCTTGGAAACAACGCCCCAACCATAGTCGATTTTTTCTTGGTCGGCATCGTCGCGCTCCTCGTCATACTGTTGGTGCTCGGGGTCCCATCGGTGCGGGTCCCAGACAGCGGGGTTGACAAAGTGGGTGTCGAGCTGAGCGGAGAAACCAGGCGAAGACATGAGAGTGTGGGTGGTGGGTACGACGTAGTTGGTTCCATCGACAACGAGGGGTTGCTTGACCTTGCGCATGATGGAGTGGATCGGAGCGTGAATACGAAGGGTTTCCTTGACGACCTGAGCGTGGAGGGGTAGCTTCTGGAGGTCTTCGTAGGTCAGAGGTGGAAGGTCTTCACCAAGAATAGACTTTTGCTCAGCAAGGAGTTCTTCTACCAGGTGTGAGTTTTGTGCCAAGCGTAGCAGAATCCAGGAGATGGTCGAGGATGACGAGTGTTGACCAGCCATGAGCAGCGCAATCATAATTCCGGCAATCTCATGCTCAGGAACTGGTGTGCCGTCCTTGTACTTGCAGTCCATCAGGTGCCAGATCATGTCGTGTGAGTCCTTCTTGGCCGCACCCGATCTCCTCTTGCGAACGACTTCAGAGTATAGCTTGATCATCGTCTCTCGTGCGTTGTCGCGTGCGCGGTTGTGGGGAAGCGGGGCCCACGACAGCATGAAGTTGATGGGTGAGAAGCCCATGTCGAGGTCGTGGTACAGCTCAGCGAATTTGGAATCGAACGACTTGCGGATCTCCTCACCCTGGAGCGAACGAGAGGCGGTGTAGATGGTGAGCTCGGCCATGACCTTGGGGACGTTGAAAGTGCCCTTTTGCCCCTTGAAAGTCTCGTGGCGCTTCATGAAGTCTTCGCATTCTTGTGTGATGAGAGTGACGTAGGAGCGAAGAGCCTCTTGGGTGAGACCATACTTGACAAACTGTCTTTGTGTTAGCATTGACGTGGTCAGAAGACGACATGCGTACCTTCTTCTGCTCCATGAGCTTCGAATTAGGGCAGTCGTAGACGACATCCTTGCCAAAGACCGGTGTGCAGAGTGGGGAGTAGATCTCCTCGGCATTGACATCCTTGATCTTTCCGTTGAGGATAAAGTTGTTGCCAGTGGTGTCCAGGCACACCGTCATCTTGCGACCGAGGAGAATGAAGGTGAAGACGTTGCCATACTACTTTCAGTCAGTTGTGTTCAATTCGGCCATTGCACGTCCTACACACCTTCTTCTGGTTGGCGAAGAAGAACGCATACGGGTCCATGCCATATGTGACGGTGTTGCCGATGACGGGCAGCCAGTGGAAGACGAGAGGCGGCTCATTGGGGTTCTTGAGCAGCAGCTGCTTCAAGACATTGAGGACGACGGCGATCAGGATAAAGGAGGCGAAGCCGGCGGCGACGATGACGGGCGTGGACGAGTTGGAGGTAAAGTTGCCAAGGGGGCCGGCGACGTTGGCGAGAAAACCCATGATGGGCAACAAGAAGCAACGACAGGAGTGAAAGCGTGGTTGAAGGACAATGTTGACGGGGAACGCGCCTCAATAAATTTCCCAGAAGTCGAGGGCGCGCATGGACCAGGGTATCCAATCATACAAATGAGTCGTCGCCTCTGCCGTACAGGGCGGTATCCGACTGGACTGTCGGTGTCGACGTCTTGGCAGGGACCGGCATGCGGATACTAGCGTCCCCGACCTGACAAGGAGAGAATGGCTGGTGGCACCACTGACAGACCATGCGAAGCAGATTGCTGTCATCGTACACTGTTTCGTGTCATTGGCTCGAGGGTACATCACCTCATCCAGGACCCAAAAGCAGATATCGTCATGGTGCAGAATTTACTCTTTACTACGCTATGCTCGGTGGAAAGACCTAGACCGCAAAACGTGTGCTTGCCGTTAACCCGCTATTTTACACGTCCGCCTGTACTGCTGTAGAACTCCTGTTGATCATAACAACTAAACTCCGCAAGACGCCAGACGCTCCGCTTGAATGAAATATCACACCATCTTCCAATGCTGCCCTAGTTGATCTTCCCTTTGCTCTGTGCAGATGCAAGGCTCTGGTCCGTCGCATAACGGGAACCGTCATCCTCTTCTGAATACAGCGTCTGGTCGCCTTTGCCGCCCATCTCGACAAACTCCTCGGGATCTCGCTGATCGGCAGGTCTTACCTCTGCAACGCCGTGAGTCTTGCCGTTCATCTTTGTGCCGTTCTCAACTCCGTTCTTCTCATACACCTTGACTGGGTCTTGGCCTTCAGCGCCTTTGATAACGCGAGATACCTTAATGTCGTTGATGCTGCTGAGCATGGTACGCTCTCGCTGCACCTTGCGTTTGGAGAAATCAAGCTTGGAGATGGCGCCTGTAAGACCGTCTGTGCTGTCGTTGACGCTGATCTTGCCCTGCGTAGTCCATGGGTGCTCCAGGCATTCATCAATCGTTATTCGCTGCTCAACATCGACTGTGAGCATACGATCAATAAGATCCAGCGCAGGGTCGCCGACAGAGTCCCAGTACGGCGATGGATAATCGAAACGGCCCATCTTGATCTGCTGTGAGAGAGTATATGGGTTCTCTGGACTGTACAGCTCATCTGAGAATGGAGGAAAGCCGCACAGGCAGATGTACAGTACAACTCCTAATGACCAGACATCGACAGCCCTGGTGTAACGTCGATGGTTTGAGTTTTCCAGTATCTCAGGCGCAACATCTGAGAAACGTTAGCATGCCATCGTATATTGTAAAAAGGCGACTTACATGATGGGGTTCCACATAGGGTAGTCGTAAACGATTCCTCGCCAATGATTTTGGCAAGACCGAAATCAGCCAATTTGATAGACAATTCCTTGTCTGTGAGCAGAATGTTCTCAGGCTTGATGTCTCTGTGAACGATGTTGCGCTCATGCTGATAATCGTTAGCAAGGAACCACACAGATGTCTGAACACTTACCAGGTACTTAAGCGCTTGGAACAGTTGCACGAAGACCTTTCGTGCCTCCTCCTCGGTCAGTTTTTGTTTCATAACGATCCAGTTGAAAAGCTCGCCCTCAGTGGCCAACTCGAGAACGAGGTAGACACCGTCGTCTTCATCGAAAGTGTCTTTGAGACAGAGCAGCGCCGGGTGGCTGACACTCATGAGCACGGCAATTTCCTGCTGCAGACCCTCAACCTTTGACTTCTCGCCAGGACCGGTGCGCTTCTCGAACTTCTTCACTGCATACCGTACGCCTGACGACTTTTCTGCGGCAAGATATACCGAAGCGAAATGTCCTTTGCCTAATTGCTCTTGCATAGTGTATTGCTGTCGGAACCGGTGGGTGTTGCGCTTCAACGGGTACCTGAAGACGTAGCGGGCTTGGTCCAAGATGGCAATTTCATCGCCTTCGCGCAGTTCGCGTCGCTTGTTCCGTCCGACGAAAGTATCGTTGACAAATGTGCCGTTGCCAGACAAGTCTTCGACCACTGCAATGGTATCGCCGCCCTTCTTCTCCATGAAAAACAGACAGTGACGGTTCGAGACGGTCGGTGAGTTGAGAACTCGATCTGTGACATCGTCAGAGAAGCGTTCATCAGAGTGATATTATGGTAGCGCAACTTACCGCACTCTCGGTGACGACCGATAAGGTAACCACCTGACGGAACACCTCGCTCCTGCTTCTCATTCTCGTATTTTTCCTCTTGACCTTTGTACTCTTCCTTGTTTACACGCTCTGTGCCATCAGTCTTGCCAACGAGCGCGGAAGGCACGGGACAGGCCTCTCGCTTGCGCAAGACAAGGACATCCTCGGCCTGGCCTTCCATGGGCACCAGGTAGCCCCAGACCTTTTCGTCCTCCTCATCTTCTACAGCGTATGTTCGGCTCTCGGGTGGGTAGACGAACTGCGAAAAGGGCTGGGTGTCGGATGGGGGCGAACTAAGCCCGCCCTTTGCCTGACTTGACTTGCCGGGTGGGGGGCTCTGTGTGCCTTCTTGGTAGCCTTCCGAGGCGTCTCCAGTGGATTCTTTGTGGGTGACGGGCGAAGGCAACGGTCCCTGCTTAAGACGGCCATTAGGAGGCGGCGACAGGCGCGAGTGGCGAGTTCTCTTGGGCTCAGCTTCCTCGCCCTGGGAATACTACAATAATTGAAGCGTCAGCGCCCATCCTCATTCACATCATGGCCTCGTGCGACAGGCGACAGGCGACGTACGCGATTTCGCTTGAGCTGACTTTTCTCAGTCTGCGCCGGCATCTTGAACAACAACGGAGAGCAGTGGAGTCGAGATGTTGACGGGTCAATGCGGGCGCGTGGATTGCCAGTGTCTAGGCAGGCAGCATAGTGATGCGAACGATAGAAACAAGTAGTAAGGGCGGAGACTCTGGGCCGCTAAGCTCGACTGAGATTGAACGGCCGCTCAGCTGCCTCGAGGTTTAGACGACGTTCCAGGCAGCCAAGCCCTGGAGCCGGGGAAGTCGCGTTCGACCCCTGCCGATTTGCGCGTGGCGAGCCCGCGGCCCTGCTTGAGTGGCCCGGAGCTGGCCACCGCCCAACATTTTACTCGCTATGACATGCTGTTCGTCCAGAGCACTCCGCGAAGAATCGTCTCGACGAAACATTGCGAAAAAGCATGCTCTCCGCTTTTCCTCATCTCGGCGACGCAGACTTTGAGCGCGCCTGCGATGGGCTGCAGCGACGCTTCCAGCTCAAGGGTAGCGCGCAGGAAGACTGGCTATCCGTGGAGAAGATCCACCGAAATGGGACCGTATATCTCAACATTACCACGCATCTGCCGCGCCCTGCAGGTATACCTGCTGTGCAGGATCGAGACGCTACTGAAGTGGATGAGGTAGTAGAGCACGACGAGGTGGGTGGGTGCCCAACATCTGCCGACAAGAGCTCAATTCAGGTAGGAAGCTCTCGACACCACCGTAGTACCCCAGCCGGTTGTAGACTACGATGTTGTCTTGTCACAAGTCTATCGCGTGCCCGTGCTGTACATCAGCATTCGTGACCCCCAGCACCGGTATCCCCCAACCATGACTACCTTGTACGAGCATCTGGTCCCGCTGCAGTTCAAGGCACAGACTGAGAACGTTGGTGTCATTGGAGGCATCACTATTACTGTGAGACAAGCAACTGCATGCGCGGTATCAAACTGATCTTCATAGGATCATCCGGCCACCAACAGACCTGTGTTTTTCATCCATCCGTGTCAGACGGCCGGCGTGATGGAAGCCTCTCTTGACAGAAACGTTACAGCGGATGAGTATCTGATGATATGGATAGGAGCGATGGGAAAGACTGTTGGCTTGGATGTACCTTTGCAATTAGCAAGACCAGATGATGCTTGACATTGCTACACGTGCTTTACATATCGTGATACAGTATAGTACACCTACAACCGCATTCGGACACTGGCCTTCTCCAGCTCGCCAATGTTCCCCATACCCGCCAAGCTCCACTTCTCCGTTACGAAGCCCTCGTTGACTTGGTGTCGCAACATGCCGCTTTCAGCATAGTACTCCATGATCGACCGGGCCTCTTCCTTGGTTAGCCCGCCGACGTTGATAATGTCAAATTCAGTCGAGTCGTTGTGGAGACCCCTGAGAGCCTCCATCACGCGTGCATCTACGTTCTTGTAGGGGTTCCATGGTGGTAGCTTGCCTGCACCCTTTTGGCGGGCCTCGGCTGCTTCGATGCAGTAGTCCATCGCTGGGGAAGCGGGTGCGTTGGATCGCGATGTTGCGCCGAGCACCATGCCGCCGTTGGGTAATTTTCTTTGACCTGAAAGGTGATCGACGAAATGGCGGACAAGAGTCAGGTCGTGAGCATGAATAGGCTTCACTTCCGCAGACATGTACTCAGAGTGGCGCATGATGTGTGATAGACCGTCGACTGCAAGAAGAATAGGTGGACGACCGGGTAGAGACAGCTCATTCCATAGCGCAACAAAGACGGGCCATGATGCCTCGGGGTTGGCCATTCCAAGCGCTGCCAGCTCTTTTAGTGTAGCACCTGCAGGAAGCGGGAGAGGTAGCTCAGGTTGTGTGCTAAGTTTCGTCGCCGCGAGGAATGCTCCGTTCGACTGGAGAATTTGTTGGAGAAGGTTCGCAGTGTATGCGTCTTGGGTATACTGCATTGGTTCTGAGTTCGGGAGTGGTGCATACTCTGTGTGAGCGTTGACAAGGTCTTGGGCTGAAAGTTGTCAGTACAGTCCCGCTTGCTTGACATGGCAACACGTACCTTCTGGGAGGTTGATCACAAACCAGTCCCGCAGAATACCCATCGTCAGACCCTGGAGTACCAATGTGCTCTTCCCACTCATTCTTTGTCCAGACAGAATCCGTCGTATTGTCTTCTTAGAGCTCTCCGCCTCTTTGAACAGTCTCGCGAGTTCGATGGCCTCCTTCCTCATCAACACTGCCGGCCGTCTAAACAGACTCCATCCCTGGGTCGTCTTGAACGCCTCGACGGCTCTCAGCGCATCCACTACGTTTTCCTGTGGCAGTCCCATGACCTTGCCCTCATTCTGCTCGTTGAGGACATTTTCCTTGCTGAGGTCCTGGAGCGAGGACACTTCTAGTGCGTTGTCGTTGCTCAGAACAATGCGCTTGCGCTGGGCTTTCCGCTCTCCTTGTGCTGGCCGTTTGCCGGAATCGCCTGCTGCGGATCCCCTGCCCTTCTTGGTGTTCAGAGACTTGACACCCTTCTTTGGGGCGGCGGTCATGCCCTTCTTCTTCTGTACCACAGCATAGCGGGCGGCCGATGTGGAAAAGCAGGCTGTCTGTGGGCGTAGCAGGCGCGGGGCGATGCAGCTGTGGGCGCCGGCATCAAGTGACAGTTGCGAGAGGCTGCGGAGACATGTTGAGGGCGGCATGACGGGTGATCGAGGCGCTGGCCCTCCGCAATGGGCGAATTGGAGATGCTAGAGACGAATTCTGTGATGGTCAGAGCCTCGGAGGTCCGCCGCTCGTGCACGGACCCGAAATTTATTCTGAACTTTTGGCAGGCGCGCAAAGTGAAATTCTACCAAAACCACCCAAACTATTCAAAAATGTCAGACACAGAAATGGACGGCGGCGTCGCGCTAGGTGCTGTTTCCCCCACGCATTCTCACCTCGTCGACGAAATCAACGGAGGCGCCATGGACGTTCACGCCAACGGCGCAGCTTCCGTCGCAGACTCGACCGTCTCCAGCCGACTGTACGTCGCATGCTTGCTTTGTCCCCTACTTCGCCGTTGCTGACTTGACAAAGCCCCATCGCCGTGAACAAGCCCACGCCTTTTACTTTTGACCTGGGAAACCTGCTCGCAAACGACCCAAACCCCGTCCCTGCCAGCGCCGACGAAGCAACTCTCACTGCAACTGCCCGCGATGCTGCACAGGCCCTCATCAACCAGCTTCTCTCTACCTGCGAAATCAAGTCAAACTCAGAGGGCGTGCACCTTGTCCTCCCTGCCCCAACCACACCTCTACCCCGCGAGAAGCCCATCCCTACAGCTGCTGAGAAGACCAAGTGGGAGAAGTTCGCTGCGAAGAAGGGTATCAAGGACAAGAAGCGCGACGGCAAGCTTGTATACGACGAGGCTTCTGGCGAGTGGGTACCCAAATGGGGTTACAAGGGCAAGAACAAGGAGGGTGAGAACGACTGGCTGGTCGAGGTTGACGAGAAGAAGGAAGCCAAGACAGGTACGGCCCACGATGCGAGGGCGGATAGTCGGAAAGAGCGAAAAGAGAGGATCAGGCGCAATGAGAGGAAGGAACGGGCGAACAGCATCAAGTCTCGAAAGACTGGTGCGTAAGCTGGAGTACTTGAATGTCGCGTAAATGGGGAAGATATCTAAAAACGACTTGCATTGGGCGGCGTTACTATTACGACATGTATTCGACTTTATGGGCGCAGGAGCTAAAAGCTTGCGAACATGCGTTCCTATCGATTGTTTGGAGGCTGTGGCTTCGTCTCAGATACCACGAGCAGCCGAATATACTATTTTTGCACTTCTTCCCAGATCCCATCGCCCAATACCTCAAAGAGTATACAGAAAATCCGGCCTCTTGTCACCTATCTCCTCAATCTCCTTCTCACTCTTGCCCTCAATCCAGACGTCCCTCGCCCCTTGCCTCCTCTTTTGTTTTCCCATGCGAGCAGAAACCGCGTCACGATACTGCCGCCCAGCAGCCATAATGTCAGATACGCCAACACCACGCCATGGCCCAGGAAGTAGCGTGGTTTGTCCCTGCTACGATAGATATTCGATGAAACGACACCGTTGATGTTACCCCAGCCGATAACAAACCCAAGCGTGACACCACGCTTGTATACACCTTCGACATTGTTGGCAGCCCAGGAAATTGTGTTCGCTATCGTTGCTGGATAGGGTTATCAGAATGCAAGAAGCCATTTTTATTGCTGGATGGAGAAGACTTACGATAGATGCCAATAGCTCCTAAGAACGTACCGGCGTACTGCACATTCGGATTTCCGGAACCAAGAAGCATGGCGAAGCCTGTGATACCGAAGAGCGAAACCCCCATGTTGCAGTACCCTCTTTGTTGCGTGCGATCAGCAATATAACCGACCAACACCGTGACCACAGCTGCAACCGCGTATGGTGGCACAGAAAGCAAATTCGCGGTTGTAGACGTATAACCCATGCCGGCAAGGATAGTGGGCAAGAAAAGACTAAAGGCATAGAGAGACCCGTCCGCTCCCATGTAGATGATGCTGAACATGAGTGTTTTCCAGTCTTTGACCGATTGCCAGAAGTACTTCATTTGGAAATCTTCGTGCGCAGCTGAGGCCTGTTTATCAGCGCGCAGACGGCGGAGGACGCGAGCTCGGTCGTCAGGAGACAAGAATGTGGCTTCGGCAGGGAAGTCATGAACCATCCAGTAACTTGCTATTCCGACAAAAATGGTTGCGAGACCTTCGAGGATCTGTGAGGTGCTGTTAACAACACATTGGCACCATGAAGAGAGGAATATATCAGTCACTTACGAAGATCCATGCCCAGCCTGGCTTTCCTCCTACGCCACCCATTTGCGCGATTCCAGCTGCTAGCAGTCCACCAAAACTACCCGCAAGCGCTGCAGCCGAGAAGAAAATAGCAGCTCGGATTCCAAATTCCGAACGTTTGTACCTATGAGATGGATCGAAGTTAGTGTATGTCTCACTTGCAGTTCGGACAGGAAAATTTCCCACCAGCAACTCAGATAGTAATTTACACCAGGAAAGAGTCCTGCAGAGGGG